TGTCTCCTTCTCATTCTCATCTTTTCTCTCTCCCCCTTCTGTTTCTCCCTGTAGTCTCTCTTTGTCTCTCCTCCTTCCCCTCCTCTTTCTCTCTGTTCCCTCTCTTCCTTCCTTCTCTGTCTCTTCCCCCTTCCCCCCTTTTCCTCCTTGTCTTTGTTGCTTTTCTCTCATTTTCTCATCTCTCTCTGTCTCCCCACTCTCTTCTTTCAGACCCCTCTCCCTATCCCACTTTTTCTCTCCCTCTCTCCCTGCCCCACTCTCCCCCCTCCTTTCTCCCATCTGTCCTTTCTGTCCCTTGCTTCCTTTTTCTCACTGTCTCTCTTTTCTTTCCTCCCTCGCTCTCTCTCACTGTCCTCTTTCCCCCTTCACCGTCTGTATACCTTTCCCTCTCTCCTATTCTGCTATCCCTGTTAACTTTCTCTCTCCCTTCTCTCCTTCATTCTCTCTCTTTGCCTTTATTCCATCTCTCTCCCTATCTCTGTTTCTCTCTTCCTTTTTCCTTCCATCTTTCTCTTTCCCCCCTCCCTTTTCCCTTTCTCTTTCATTCATACCCTCTCTCTCTCCCCCATCTCTCCCTTTTTCTAGCTTGCTTTCTCTCTTTTTCTCTTCCCCTTCTCTCCTTCCCTCCTGTCCTTCCCTTTCTCTCTTTCCCTCTCTCCTTCTTTCTCTCTTTGTCTTTCTCTCAGTCTGTTTCCCTCTCCCTCTCTCTCTCTCTCTCTGTCTTTCTCTCTCCATCCACGCCTCTATCTTACTCCCTCTCACTTCCTTCCTTCCTCTCTCTTCTTCTCTTTTGCCTCCTTTCTCCCCCTACATTCTCTCTCCCTCCCTCTCTCTTCCCTCCTTCTCTCTTCCCTCCTTCCCTCCCATTTCCCCCTCTCCCTACCTCTTATCCTTCCATCTCCCTACATCCTTCCTTCTTCCTCACCCTTTCCCCCCTCCCTCCCTCTCTCTTTCTCTCTTCTCTCCCTTTTCTTTCCCTCCTCCCCCTTTTTCCTCCACCTCTTTCTTCATCTCTCCCTCCATCTTACTCTCTCCCTCCCTCTTTTTCTTCCTTCTATCTTGTCTCTCCTGTCTCTCCACCTCTTTCTCTATATTCCTCCTCACTCCCTCCATTTTCTTCCCTCTCTCTTTCCCCTCTTTCTTCCCTTCTCCTCCACTCCCTTCCTCTCCTTCTCTCTCCCTCTTTCTTTTTCCATTCTTTACTCCCTCTCATTCTACCTCCACCTTTTTAACTTTCCTTACCTCTTTCTCTTTCAGTCTCTCTCATTCTCTATCCCTCCCTCTTTTCTCCTCCTTCCCTCTCTCCTTTCTTCTCTCTCTCCTTCCCTTGCACTATGTCTCTATGGTCTTTCCTCATATGTCTCTTTCTCCCTTCCTCTCCTTCTGTCCCTCTCTATCTGTTGCTTCCTCTTTTTCCCTCACTTCTTCTCACTTCCTTCCTTTCTCTGTCTCTCACTCTCTTACCCCTCTGTCTCCCCCTCCTCTCTCTCTTCCTTCTTCCTCTTCTCTCTTTTTTCTTTCTTTCCCTCTCCCTTTCTCCCCCTCACTCCCTTTCATTTCCCTCCCCTCTCTCCCCCTTCTCTCCCTCTTTTTCCTTCTCTCCTGTCCATTTTTCCTCTTTTCTCCTCTCTCTCTCTCTCTCTCTCCTTCACTCTTTCCCTTTTCTCTCTCTCCCCTCTCTCCTTCCCTGTACTACCTCTCTCTTCATTTCCTCCCTCACTCCTTCCCCCTTTCCCTTTTCCTTTCTCTCCTGCCCTCTCTCTCTGTGTCCTTCTGTTTCCACTCTCTCCCCCCTCACCCTTCTCTTCCATTTTTTTCTCTTTCCCTTCTCTCTCCCTCCTTCCTTCCATCGTTTTCTCTCCCCTTTCTCTTTTCCTCCCTCCTTCCCCCCTCTCCTCTTCCCTCTTTCCCTTCCTCTCACTTCCTCCTTCTGCTTTTGTCTCTCTCTCCTCTCCCTTTCCTTCTCTACCTCCATCCCTCTGTTCCTTTTCTTCTCTCCCTGTCCCTCTCCCCTTCTCCCTTTCCCTCTCTTTCTCTCCCTCTTCTCCTCTCTCCCCTATCTCCCTCATCTCCCTCCTATTCTCTCTCTTCCTCTCCACCCTCTCCTGTCCTCTTTCCTTCCTTCCTTCCTTTGCTCCCTCTTTCTTTCCCTCTTTCCCACCCTCTCTCACTACCTTTTCTTTTCTCTTTCTCCCTTTCCTTCATTCCATCCCTCCCGCTCTCCCTTTGCTCTCTCCCCTCCCCTACTCTCTCATCTCTCTCTCCTTCATTCCCTTTTTTTCCTCTTTCTCTATCCCTTGCTTTCTCTTTACTCCTTTCTCACTCTCCCCCTCCTCTCTTTCTTCCTCCCTCTGTCTTTCTACCCCTTTCTCCGTCCCTCCTTTCCTCTCTTCCCTTCCTCTCTCTCTTCTTTTTCTCCATCCTTCTCTTTCTCTTCTTTCTCCCTTCCTCCTTTATCTCTACCTTTCTTATTCTCCCTTCTTCTATATCCTCCCTCCCTCTCTGTTGCCCCCCTCTTTCCATCCCTTTCTTTGTCTCCCTTCTGTCTGCCTCCCTGTGTCCCCCCATCCCTTTCATCATCTTTCTCTCTGTATTTCTCTCCATCTATATCTTTCTGCCCCCCCTTCTCTCTCTCCCCCGTCTCTTTCCTTCTTTCCATCTCTCTCTGTCCCCTCCTCTCTTTATATCTCTCTCTCTACCTCCCTCTCTTCTTTCTGTCTCTTTTCCTCCATCCCTTTTTCTGTCTTGCCTTATTTTCCTATCTCTCTCTCCATCTTTCTGTTTCTGTCTTTCTTCCTGTCTTTCTTTTCTCTCTTTGCCCCCCCTTCTCTATTCCTTTCTCTGTCTCTCTCCCCCTCCTCTCTCTTCTTTCTGTGTGTCTCCTCTCTGTCCCCCCCCCCATACTTTTCTCCATTTCTCCTTGTCCTCTTTCCCTTTCTCTCTCCTCTTGGTCTCTCTCTCCATTTCTCTGTCTCTGTCTGTCTCTCTCTCTCCCTTCTCTCTGTCTTAAAATCTTTGTCTCTCCTCTGTATATGTATGTTTATGTCTGTGTCTCTGTCTCTGTCTCCGTCAGAAGTTGCAAGAGGCCAGGGTCAGCTTGCTAGCAGGGAATGCTTCCCTGTAACATTCCTGTCCCGCAGCAGACCTGGCTGCCTCAGGAGCTCATGGCTTGGGGGCCCTTGCTGAGGGCCCTCAGAGAGAAGCTCGCTGACCACTGCTCAGATATGCTGTGGCAAGAATTTGTTCTCAGTCAGCTCCTCAATTCCGTGACTCTTTGTATGTGTCTCATTCTGAGCTGGGGTCTCACTCTCTGCTCATCAGGCTCGAGCTGGGAACTGAGAGGTCCCCAAGTTCAACCCTCCCATTTTAGAAGTGAGCGGCCCGCAGCATAGAGAGGTTTGTAAAGTGTGGTACACCTCAGAAATGTCTGAGACAGAGCTTGAACCCAGGTTTTCCTGACCCCTGCTCCCCAGGTGTCTCTCCTGTGGTCTCATTAGATGTTTGTCCAAAGCTCACTGGGTGAGCCAGACTAGAAGGGGTCAGGGACGGCCAGGCCCCAAGGAACTTGAGGTCCCTGGAGCTCAGCCTCCAAGTTGGGAACAAGATGAGGCGCTTTCACTGATGAATTGGATGGCATGGCTCTGAGTTCAGGTCCTCCTCCTCTGACCCCTCTTAGACTGTGACTCTGGCCAAGTCAGCTGACCTCTTTGGGGCTCCAGGCACCTCCAGGGCTTCAAGTTGCAGAGAGGGGTAGTGACCTGCCCTGGTGGAGGGAGTTCCCTCCTCCTGGAGCTCCCATGCCAGTGAGATCAATCACAGTGACGTCTCTAGTCAGAGGTACTATCAGACCCTCTTGAAAGATCATCTTCACTCCACTGAAGGGGACATAGATGGAAGTGTTATACCAGGGCCACGTTTCACCACTGCCACTTGGTAACTTGCTGGGTGACCTTGGGCAAATCATTTCCTCTCTGTGGGCCCCAGTTTCCTCACCTGTAAAATTCATAGGTTAGAGTAGATGGCCTCTGAAGATTCCCAGCAACTTCCATTCTGTGATCCTTTGACCTTTCTGACCCTCCGTTTCCTTATCAGTCACGTGTGAGGGTTCGGTTAGAGGCCGACTTGTAGGGCCCTGGCCTTGTTGGGAGAAGTCAGTACTTTGTGTTTGGGGCAGGGCAGTGGCTAGAGCGCCAGCCGGCCTGCAGCCAGCTGTCTGACCCTGGGCAAGTCACTTGACTCTGTTTGCCTCAGTTTCCTCATCTGCAAAATGAGGATAATAATTGCACCTACTTTCCAGAGTAATGATGAGAATTACATGTGATGCCATGTGTGAAATCCTCCAGAAATCCTAGCTCTTATTGCTGGTGTTGGAGGTGAAGGCTCTTCTTAGCCTTGACTCTGAACTCTGGGATTCTGCTGTAGATAATCCTCCCACCACACAGCTGAGGCACCCAAGAGCAAGGCATTTTGTGTGTGTGTGTGTGTGTGTGTGTGTGTGTGTGTGTGTGTGTGTGTGTGTGTGTGTGTGTGTGCATGCGCATGTGTGCATGCGCACTAGAGGAACAGCCGGACCCTGAGCCTGCTTAATTAGGGCCCAGTAACAGCGGACGGTGAAGCTGCTTTGCTCAGGTCTGGCCAACTTCCATTGAGGGCAGATCTGATGTTTTCATTTAATTGCCCAATTTCTGCCCTTAATTCAGAGGAAGGACATCGGGACAGTGGGTGGCCCCCACGTGGTGACCTTATGAGAGGCCATGGACAAGAGTGGCTCAGGATGGGCTGCAATCTGCACGGTTGGAGAGGACTTCCAAAGGAGAAGATCCCAGCTGTATTGGAGTGTTAGGATTTAAGTGCCTTAAACCACCTGACCCGGGGCTAGGGTGGGGGTGGGGACACCCCGAACCTCCTTGCCCTCGTTGTCTTCCTTCCTGAGATTGACTTTTCCGTCTTGTGTCAGCTCTGCTCCCCCACCCCCTCACATTCTGGACTCTCTCTTTCAGGTATTGGATGGACTCTTGGCTCAGTATGGGACAGTCGAGAACGTGGAACAAGGTAATAAACGGAGGCACGTGCTCAGCATAGTTAAAGGACATTGACTATTACCCTTTGTGCCCAGGCTGAGTTTGTACCCGGGAGAAATAGTGTTGTTAACCCAAATCACTAAAAAGGGAGTTAAAGCTCTTTGCTCAATCCGACTGTAGTGGATGTGTGCTTGTGTGTGTTGGGGGCGGGGTGCTGCTTCTCTCACCCTTCTGCTGAGGGGATGGTAGGGTCTTGTCACCAGGGGCAAGAAAAGTTGGATCCAGGTCCCTGTCAGTGCTCTGAGAAACTGACTCTCCAGTTACAGAGAAAGGGTCATTGTGCATTAGTAAAGGGAATTTCCTCTCCAGGAGATCCCACGGGCTCAGGCTTGACCCCTGCTCTGCTCCAAGTGCTGTAAAGAGGAGGCTCGTGGGAATGACATGAGCAAAGGGAATCCCTGGGAAAGATTATGGACCCGGGTCCTTCAGCATTCTGGGGAAGCCTAGGGAGGCCTTCTTAGAATTGCGTTTTTAAATACATAAAATAAATTGGAGCAGATCCCAGAGGAAGCCAATTGTGTTAAAAGACAGGCATCACAACATTTTAAAATTAAAAAAAAAAAAGGGTTCCCAGACTCCAGGTTAAGAACATCTGGCCCAGCTGGCCTTTGGGGTCCCTTCTAAATCCATGTTGCCAGGAATCTGGTAATCCTATTAGCCGTGCTGTTGGTGAATTGTCCAGGGACATGATGAAAACCTCACATCTTTTCAGAGTAGGCTGCAGGGCCCAATCTGTTGCTATAAGGAATCGGCTTTTGCAGGTCGGAGAGTTTGGGGCTAACACTTCCTAATAAAGAGAGCTGGTAACCCTGAGTCATAAGCCACTTCCTTCAGATTGGGGCAGCTTGGAGGCGCAATGCACGGAGCACTAGGTCCAAGTTCAGATTTGGCCTCTAGCTGTGTGGCCCTGGGCAAATCACTTAACCTCTGTTTGCCTCAGTTTCCTCCTTAGTAAAATGTTTCTTGAATCCAGAAATTAGTTCCTGGAGACATTTAATGCTCCCTGAACTGTCTTTTTAGGTCTGGTTATTAGGAGGCAGGGCATGGGGAGGGAAGGATCCCATTATATCTTTGGTGATGAGAGGGACCTAACAGGTCATGTAGTCCTTTCACAGAGAGGAAACTGAGGGTTCACGGTCACCCAAGCTGTAGGTGGGTAAGCAGCAGAGCCAGGATGAAAGGCAGGTGCTTTGATTCTGAAGCCAGTATTCTTTCCACTCCATGGAAGGAAAGGGGGTGCCCACCTGTTGGAGAAATGACTGAACAGGTGATGACACAGGGATGGATTGGAATGTAAGAAATGGTGGGGCACAGGGACCACAGAGAGCCCTGGAAAGACTTGCATGAACTGGTGATGCCGAACCAGGAGAAGGGTCCTCACAGCAACTACAATGCCAACAGAAGGACCCCCCAAAAAGAAAAGAAATGCAACACTCAGTTGTCTCTAAAGAAGGTGTGAGACTGTTCCTCCCTCACTTCTTCCCAGGGGTGCAGGGCTGGCAGACAGGGGTGAAACCTTTCTTATGCCTTCAGACAGGGTCATCCTTTGGTGCTTTTGCTTTCTTGCTCTTGTTTTGTGTTCTTGATTATGAGGTAGACAAAGGGGGAGAGGTACATTCTAAAATGAAGTAAAAATAAAAAACGCCAATAAAATGTTTAATTAAACAAAAAGGAATTCTTGGAAACCTGACCGTTGTTAGTGACTAGTTGTTACTCCAGATAATTGGTATCAAAGTATGCCTCTCTCCTTTCAGCAGACAAGCGATGGATTGCAGGTGCAGAAAGAGGTATACATTTGAGGACCTGTCCAACGTGTTCATTTCTTGTGTTTATTTGTTACAAAGGAGGCTTCTTTTGGCAGGGATTGGTATTAGGAAGTGACAGGGATTTTTTTTTTAAAGAGCAGCAGTAAGACTTTTTAATAAATCAGTTTTTAACATTCATTTAAAACATTTTTGAGTTCCAGATTCTTCCCCACCCATTGAGAAGGCAAGCAATATGTCATGTATGTGAAGTCTTGCAAAATATATTTCCGTATTAGCCATGTTGGGAAAAAAAAAGCAAGAAACAAAGGAAATGAGAAAATTATACTATAGTCTGCATTCAAAATTCATCCATTCTCTCTCTGGAAGGAGATGGCATTTTTCGTCATGGATCATTTGGAATTGTCTTGGATCATTGTCTTGATCTAAGCAGCTAAGTCTTTTGCAGTTGATCAGTGTTACATTCTTGCTGTTAACGCATACAGTGTTCTCCTGCTTGTGCTCACGTCACTTTGCATCAGGTCCTGTGAGTCTTCCCAGGTTTTTCTGAGCTCATCCCCTTTGTCATTTCTTACAGCATAATAGCATTCCATCACAATTGTATACCACAACTTGTTGAGCCATTTATTTCCCAGTTGGTGGGCATGCTCTCAAAATAATATATATATTTTTTAAGCAAGAATAGAGCTCTGAACACACTTGGGAGTGTTTGGGAAGAAGGGTCTGCTTGAGTCATTTTTACCAGCTTGTCAAAGTGCTTTTTGTCTCGGCTTGCCAACTTGGATTCGGAATTTGCCTACCCTGCTCTTGAGGCTTCCTCTGATATTTAGGAAGAAGAGGAAAAAACAGCCCCGGAGCAAAATAAGGCCAGTCGTTAAACATTGCTTAAGAGGGCAGCCAGGATAGGAAAGGGCCCAAGGGACACAGCACATAGGGTCGGTGGGAGGCACCACGCATGCACGCACGTTCAGGAGAAGGCTCAGGCAGGATGTCACACCTGTTTGTAAACATTGGAAGAACTCACACAGGGAAGGGGCATTAGGCTTGTTCCACTTGGCCTCAAGGGGGAGAACCAGTAGCTTTGGATAGAAGGTGCAAGGAGACAGACATAGGCTTGATATCAGGAGAAATATTTGACCCATTGGAGTAATTCCAAAGTGGATTGAACCGCCTCAAGGGACGTGACTTGGTTGGAGGATCACTAGCTGACCCTGAGGTCCCTTCGTGCTGAGGATGCTCAGCCAGTATTAGGCGTGCCAGTGCCCCAAGCTGGCCAGAGCCGCCCGTCCTCTTGAACGTGTGCTGAGTCACTGCTGCTTCCTGAACACAGGTTTCTGTGTTGAGACTCTTTCCCGTGACCTGGCCAGGGGCAGGGTGGTGTCTGTGCTCCTGTGAAGCTCATAGGCACTTCTTGTTTCTCCATAGTCAACACAGACACCGAGGCTGCTGTTGTCAACGTCACCTATGCCACCCGTGAAGAGGCACGAGGGTAAGTGCATTGGGACCCAATTTTAGTTGTTTGAAATGCACATGGTTTGTCATTTCCAGGCCTTTTCCAGAGACAAATGCTCATAAACCTGTGGAATTCAGTCATGGACAGGAAGTACTCCGGTCTAGCCAGCCCTTGAGGCTGGTCTGCAGCTTGTAGACATTGAAGATCTCTGAGCCACACTGAGCTAGGGGGCTGCTGGGAACAAAATCTAGCCCTGTGGATGGCCCACACGCAGGCCAATTCTGGCCCCTGGGCCTGGCCAGGGGCACTCATGGGGGGGCAAGGCAGTGGGGCACCTTTCCCCAGGAGTGTAGCCTAAAATGATTCCAAAGCCTGCAGGAGCCTCGATCTTGAGTTAGAAGGGCCTGTGAGGGGCCACCCCATAGGGAAACTGAGGCTCAGACCATCGAAGTGCTTTACTCAGGGCCATTTCATTTCTTCTGCCGCCCTTTAAGAGACATGCCTTGGGAGACAAGGTGTTTGAAAGTGAAGTGGATATTATTGTCCTCTCATTATCCCCATTCTGAAGAAGAAGAAACTTGAGTCTTATGTGGTGTATGGAACGAGCCTGGTAGAGTGGAAGGTACTAGCCCTGTTCTCATAGTGCTGCCTGTTTTAGGTCTGTCCCCCAGTCAAATGTAACTCCCTGAGGGCAGGGAGTTTGTGTTTTTGTGCCTAGCACAGGGCCCAGTACTCACCCCCACTTGTGACTTCATTGCTATGGGGAGCGTTGGTGAGGCCACTCAGCTATAACTGAGGCTTGGGGAGTTGCCTGCCTGGGGCGCTAAGTGCCTTGCCCAGGGTCACACAGCCAGGGCGTCTCAGGCAAGACTTGAACCCAGGCCTCCTTGACTTCACAGCCCGCCTTCCACTACCGCGTGCTGTGGCCCACGGCGGGTACTCAAGCAGGGTTTCTTGGAGCCGATAGAATTGCTTTCCTGGTCTTTGCCGAGGAGCGCCAGGTGGCTGTCGTTCCACAGGACGCCCAGTTTCCAATTTATCGGTTACATGAGTGATGTTAGAAACAAAGCATGTGATGGAAAACAAACATTTATTTAAAAAAAATGATTAAAATATTTGTTAAACACAAGTGCCTTGGAAAAGGGTTACACACACACAGCACACCACATGTACACATATGCATACCACACACACGTGCACACATGCACACCACACACACATGCCCTGCCTGAGTCCCAGTCCCAGGGGGAGGGTTGGCCTTCACACCAAACAGCCACGTCCCGTCATAAGCTTGGGCTCCCTTCTCGTGCCCTGCAGAGCCATCGAGAAGCTCAGTGGTCATCAGTTTGAGAACTACGCCTTCAGGGTTTCCTACCTCCCCGATGAAGATGGCAGCGCCCCTCCGAGATCCCGCCGAGGGGACCCCTCTTCCAGGGAGCACAGCCATGGCACTGGGGGCTCGGCCCAGCCCAAGCAGCTGGAATTCCCACTCCGGATCCTAGTCCCTACCCACTTTGTTGGTGCCATCATAGGAAAGGAGGGCTTGACCATTAAGAACCTTACGAAGCAAACCCAGTCGAAGTAAGTGCTCTCTGGCTTCCTGGCCTTCTTCGGGAGCGCCATGCCAGCTTTCTGTCTTGGTGGCGAGGGGGCAGGGCACGGATTAGCTGAGTCTCATTTCTTGAGCCCATCATGGTCCGTGTTCAGTGGGACCACAAGAGCCTTCAATGTCAGGCATGAGAATCTAGGGAAAGCTAAGTGACAGATTGTCTGGCTCTGTGGAGGTACCTCCTGGCTCTCAATCTGTCATTCAGTGACCAGTTAGGATCAGCAGCACTGAGGGGTCAAGGGCAGTCACTGGGAGGAGGGCAGGGTTGAGGAGAAGCCAATGATGTCCTGGCCATGACCTTGGCCTCCTCTGTTGACCCCATCTATTTTGACTCTGGGCTGAGTCGGCCCCCATTTTGGGGAGCTAAAGCCTTTGTAGGCACAGTGTTGTAGCCGACAGGACCCCTCGGTCTGTCGCTTCTTGTCTGAAACCAAAGTGTGAGCATGTGGTTTGAAAGGGTGTGAAAAGTAGCAGGACCTGAGTTGGAATCCTGACTGCCTCTCACACACTACGTGACCTTGGACGAGTCACCTGAGAACTCAGTGCCTCTGAGGTCCCTCCCAATCCAATCAATGAGCATTTAGTAAGTGGCTGCTGTGTGCCAGCGCACAGGCCGCTTTGGAGCGCTATGTGTACAGGAGCCAGATGGCTGCCCCTTGCAAGACTGGGCTTCCTGCTTTGTGCCTCTGTGATCGCCAGGACGGCATTAACAGAGATTCCCTGAGGGCGCCTCCCCCAGCAGCTGACTTGGTGGCCAGCAAGAGCCTAAGCCTGGCAGCTTCTGACCGACTTGGGGGGTAGGGGTTGCAGATCAGTGGAGGGGCAGGTGCCAGGTAGCCATAAGCTGCAGAGTGAAGTGAAGGTAGATGGCGGTGATGGAAAGTGGGTAGAGGAGAAAACTTCCTTCCTCCCTCCCTCTCACTTTCCCTTTCTCCTTCCTTCCTTCATTCTTCCCTTCCTTCCCTCATTCCCTTCCTCCTTCCCTTTCTCCCTTTCTTCCTTCCTTCTCTTCTTTCCCTCCCCCCTCCCTCCCTTTCTCTCTCTTCTTCCCTCCCTCTCTTCCTTCCTCCCTCTTTCTCTTCTTTCCCTCCTCCCTCCCTACCTTCCTCTCTTTCTTCCTTCCCTCCCTCCCTTCCTCTCTTCCTTCCTTCCTCCCTCCCTCCTCCCTCTTTCTCTTCTTTCCCTCCTCCCTCCTTCCCTTCCTCTCTTCCTTCCTTCCTCCCTCCCTCCTCCCTCTTTCTCTTCTTTCCCTCCTCCCTTCTTTTCTTCTTTCCTCCCTCCCTCTCTTCCTTCCCTCTCTTCCTTCCTCCCTTCCTCTCTTCTTTCCTCCTTCCCGCCTCCCTTTTATTTTTCCATTGACTCCTTCACTTCTCTGAGTGATACAGAGCAGAGAAAACAGACGGAGGCAGGACCCGTTGGTGCTTCCTAGCACAACGCAGGTGCTGTCAGGCTTGCACTTGGCCGTGGTGGGCAGTGCCTCCCTGTGCGTCTGCCTTCCTTCCGGGAGGAGCCCTGCTTCGTGAGAGTGTTCTGAGGGTCTCTTGTGCCCACTGCTGCTAGAAGGTGGGTCGTTGCGCCCTGCCCGGCCATCTGGCCGCCGCAGCCGCTGAGGATGACGGCGTGGGGGTGCGCGTGTGTTTTCCCCTGTCCTGCTGCAGGGTAGACATCCACAGGAAGGAGAACGCAGGGGCGTCTGAGAAGCCCGTGACCATCCACGCCAGCCCCGAGGGTGCCAGCGAAGCTTGTCGGATGATTCTCGAAATCATGCAGAAAGAAGCAGATGAGACCAAGGCGTAAGTTTGTCTCTATCAAAGCCCTGAAATGACGACCAGAGGACCAACCAGCCTGACGGCCACGGGATCTGGGTTCAGATCTTGACTTAATATCTTTACGGAGCTGGGTGGGGCCCTTCACCTGGGCCTCAGTTTCCCCATCTGTAAAATGAGGGGATTGAACTAGCTGGCCTCCAAGGCCTCTTCTGGCCGTGTCTATGGTCCTGTCGTTTACCCTCGCTGGGCCTCAGTTTCCTCATTTGTAAAATGAGGGGGTTAGGCCAGATGGTTTATGAAGTCCCTGTGACGCTGTGGTTGTACAAGAATTGGAGAACCCGTGGGGTGCCAGGCTCGTGGGACTAGAGCTTGAAAGGACTGAGCCCAACCCCTTCATTTCTTGGATGAGGAAACTGAGTCCCAGGAGGTTCAGGGACTCGCCCAAGGTCACTCAGACAGTGACCGTGCAGACCCACTGAGCCTGGGTCTCCAGAGCTCCCGGGAGCTTCTTTTTTCAGAAATGAGCCATGCAGAGCGGGCTTGGGGGCGCAGTCCCAAGGCCATGGCGCTGAGGGGCCTTCGCTTTCCTTCAGAGCGGAGGAGATTCCTCTGAAGATCCTGGCCCACAACAGTTTGGTCGGGAGACTGATTGGCAAAGAAGGGCGAAACCTGAAGAAAATTGAGCAGGACACGGGGACCAAGATCACCATCTCTCCGTAAGCTCAGCCGTGGCTCACCCTCCTCTAGCACCTGCTAGCAATACAGCTTTCCGTTCTGTGGGCATCTTTGAAGTCCCTACTGTGTGCCACACACTGTGGTGGGCCCAGACAAGACAGTCCCCTTCTGTTGGGGGTTGGAAAATACACCGAGTGCTTGGATTAATGAGTGTGAGATTAACTGGGGAGGGAGTGAGAGTGTGTGTGTGTGTGTGTGTGTGTGTGTGTGTGTGTGTGTGTGTGTGTGTGAGTGAGAGAGAGAGAGAGAGAGAGAGAGATGGTGACTCGGGGGGAAAAGCCTTCACAGAGGAAGGAGCTCCCATCTGAGCACAACCTGGAACAGCTGGGAATTCTAGGAGGTGGAGGTGAGGCAAGCATGCCTTCCTGGCATGGGGGATAACTAGTGCAAAGATGTGGCAGTGGTAGATGGCCTGTTGGGAAAAGACCAGTTTGGCCACGACATAGAATATATGAGGAGCAGCTAGGTGGCACGATGGATAGAGGACAAGGCCTAGAGTCAGGAAGACCTGAGTTAAAATCCAGCCTCAGACGCTTAATAACTGTGTGACTCTGGGCAAGTCACTTCACCCTGTTTGCCTCAGTTTCCTCACCTGTCAAATGAGCTGGAGAAGGAAACGGCAAACCACTCCTGTATCTCTGCCAAGAAAACCCAGGATGGGGTACAGAGAGTCAGACACGACTGAAATCACTCGACAGCAACTACAAAGAATGCATGTAAGAGAATAATATGGATTAAGTCAAGAAAGGGAAGTGGAGGCCAGGTTGTGGAGGACTGAATGCCAAGGTGTTTATCCTGGAGGTAATAGGGAGCCACTTAGGATGCTAGAGGAGGGGTGTGGTATGGTCAGACCTGAGCTTTAGGTCGGTCTGGCAGCTGGGAAACGGGAAAGGAGTTCACCCGAAGGCATCATTCGCAGCACAGAGGGCAGCCAGCGGGGGGGGGGGGGCGTCTCGGGCCATTTGTTCCACGCCACCACGTGGCCCCGGTGCCGTGGCAGCTGTAGGGACACGGGGAGCTTCTGACCCATCGGAGTCCGTTCCCTGCCTCGTGTTGGATCAATTTGGGTCCTTCAGAAAGCCTGAGCTTTTTCCTTCCTCTGTGATCTCCCAGTCTGCAGGACTTGACCATTTACAACCCAGAGAGAACCATCACAGTCAAAGGTACGATTGAGGCCTGCTCCTGTGCAGAGGTGGAGATCATGAGGAAGCTCCGTGAAGCCTACGAGAACGACATGGTGACTGTGAACGTAAGTGCCCCGCACCTACCCCCAGCTCTCCGGGGAATCTTGGGGTCAGGACACTGGTCTGAGGAGGGTGAGCGGGGAGAGAGGAGAAGCTTAGCTAGGACATGGTGGCCACAGGTACCGACGGGCTCCTGGCAGCGTAGAGACATGGGTGATGTCCTGAACGGGGCATCTTGGGGTCCGATGACTTAAATCCGGGTTTCTTTCTGTGCCCCTGAGTATTTTGGCTGTCGGCCTAGCGAAGCCCATGAACCCCAGACCCCTCTCTCTCTCTCTCCCTCCCTCTCCCTCCCCCTCCCCCCCCCCCCTCCCCCTCTCCCCCCTCTCTCTCTCTCTCTCTCTCTCTCTCTCTCTCCCTCTCTCCTCTCTCTCTCCTCTCTCTCTCTCTCTCTCTCTCTCTCTCTCCCTCTCTCCCTCTCTCCCCCTCCCTTCTTTCTTCCCTTCTTACTTCCTTCCATCCCTCCTTTTTCTCTCTCCCTCCCTCTCTCTTCCTTCCCTCCCTCCTTCCTCCCTCCCTCTCTTCTCTTCCTTCCTTCAAATCATATTTCTAAATACCACAAAATACATAGGATTCCGAATGAAACCAATTTTAGTGAAATGCAGCAGTAAAAATATTTTTAAACACCAGTTCTCAGCCCTACCTTAAGAGGATGCTGCCAGGGTGCCCCTCCAGACTCAAGTGGACCCAGCAGACCTTTGAGGTCCTTCCTGCCCTTAAGACTCTCTGTGGTCAATTCCCAGCCCCTTGGGGGCAGAATAAATGAAATCCTAAGTCGGGAGGAAGGCTCCGACAGCCTCTGTCTACCCCTTGTGTGGCGATGGGGGAAGCGGAGACTTCATTAATGTTACTACAGGCTCCCTGAGCTGCTTCCAACAGCCAAACAGGGCTGGCTTTGGGGGAAGGGAGCCAGCCTTTTAAACAGCACCTCCTGTGTGCCGGGCACTGGGCTAAGCCCCATTTTATAAACATTATCATATTTGATCCAGTTTGGGGGCCTAAGGACTGGCTTGTAATCCTTAGTCTGCCCCTTACTACTTTTGTGGCTTTGAGCAAGTGGCTTTCCCTCTATTTCCTCCTCCCTAAAACAAGGGGATTGGATTAGAAACCCTCTAAGGCCCCTCCGGCGCCCCGTCCCTGGTGTTCAGTGCAGGCATCCTTCCTCGCTGCTCAGCCTGCTGGATGCCAAGTGGGGCAGTAGAAAGGAGAAAGCTGGGGGACCCTGGGGCCTGAGCGGGCACTTGGTGGGGGAGGCTGTGTCCCGGCCCCTCTTGGGGCAGGACGGTTTGCTCTGTTTGCACTAAGCGGACGTGAGGAAACTCAGATGTTTTTGCTCTTCTCTCCCCTTCCTTCCTTCTCCGTCTCGGCTCCTAGCAACAAGGCAATCTGATCCCGGGACTGAACCTCAGTGCCCTTGGCATCTTTTCGACAGGTCTGTCCATGCTCCCTTCTGCAGCTGGGCCCCGGGGAGCTGCCGCCGCCTCCTACGGCGCGTTTGCTGTAAGTGACCTTGAGGTCGGACCCAGTATTTCTCTGGGTGGTCATTGGGGTGTATGAAGGGTCACGTCTGCCCACCCTCCTCAGGAGTGGATGCTGAGGGTATACCCGAGGACGCTCAGCAGATCCCACCCGAGCTGCCCGGGTGCTTCTCACCCACTGTGGGCAGACCTCGGTGAGGTGCTCGGAAAATTCCCTAGAGTAGGCTTGGCACGTGTTGCCATGGAGAGAAGCTAAGACTCCATGACCAGAGGGCTTGGGGGTTCTTAGCTCATAGACTGGGTGGCTGCTAGTGGCTGTGTGACCCTAGGCGAGTCACTTAAATTATCTGTGTCTCAGTTACAAATTAGTTGATCTTCTGATTCTGGGTAGGGGAAGGGAAGCATTTATGTAGCACCAGCTGTATGCCAAGCAGTTACAGATCTGATCTCATTCCTCACAGCAGCCCTGGGAGGAAGGGCTTATTATCCCCATTTTACAGCTGAGGAAACTGAGGCAAACTGAGGTGAAATGGCTTGCCCAGGCTCCTACCAGCTGAGGCCAGATTTGAACTCGGGTCTTCCTGACTTGAGGCTGGGCACTGTAACCACTGCACCGCCTGGCAGAGTATGAGTGATCTTGGGCAAGTCGCTTAAGCGCTGCTTGCCTCAGTTTCGTCTAAATCTTTGCCTTTCAGAGTCTTTACTTGCTTTCAGTTCTCACCTTGAGGGGCCCTCTCTGGGCAGCCCTCCTCAGAAGGCTCAGGACTGCTCTGTCTGATCTTTCCTCTGCCCTCTGTGCCCTCCACCATGCTGCCTCTCTGTCTCAGTTTGACGTTCTCTAATCCAATGCCTTGAATTTACTGTTACTGAGTGAGAATTCTCCTGTTGTCTGGCATCTGTGATGTTTCCCCACCTCCGTCTTAAAGAAAAATGATTGGGATGTAGTCTGGGGCTTTCTGGGGAACCATGGCACAGGTTTTCTCTGTCTTTGTCAAGCCGTGGTTCACTGATGCTTTGTTGAAGGAGAGGCACTTTGCTAGAAACGCTTTGGTTTTCTGCCGCCGTTCCTGTAGGAACGTCCTGCCCTTCCCCCGTTCAGGGGCGAAGGCTTCCCCTCGGTTCTTACCCAGTGGGTTTCTGCAGCTCTGTGCCTCTCCATTGCTGGTGTCTCAGCTGAAGTATCTGGGTTTTCTTCTCTGCTTCCTTCTCTGTGTCTCTGGTCTCTGTCTCTTAGAATGTAAGCTTGAGAGCAGGGCCCAGCTCACTTCACTGTTTCCCCAGTGCCCAGTAGGCGCTTGTTATTAATAGATTGTTTAATGTCCTTCTTTTGTGCCCTCGACATCCCTGTAGGACAGTAGAAAGAGCCCTGACTTTGGTGTCAGAGGAACCAGGCTTTCTTCTCTGGGCCTCAGTTTCCTCCTTTGTAAAACAGAGGGGTTGCATCAGAAGTCCTTCTAGCTTGAAATCTCTGACCTGTGAACTTGATAGCTCATGAAAGGAAGAAACACTCCACGTGTGCACGGGCATGATCGGGCACCGGCTGACGCGGCCGTAGCAGCCTCTGGCTGGACCAAGCAGGCCTCCCCAGCTCAGCATCATTTTAAGAGATGAAAACAGACCCAGCCACCATCTCCCTTTGGAAATGTAAGAAAGGAAGAGGTGCCCGCTTGTCTGCAGAGTGTAGACTAGTGTAGACCCTCAGGGAGCTGCTGCTTTGCTCAGAGGGAAAGATCGTGTGCATAACCCTACACAAAGTAGGCAGAAAGTCATTTCAGGAAGGGGTGGAGGGGTGAGCCTAAGCCCAGTGTAGAAGGGATCCCCCAGCTGAACGAAGGAGTCTCTGAGGAGGCACTGGGCTGGGGAGCGTATCCCACCAAGTGGGAGATTTTAGCTGGGTTGTAGAATATGTGAACAGGGAAATAATGTGCAATAATCTGGGAGTGAAAGACTGGAGCCAAACAGAGGAATGTGGGTTTGGTCCCAGGGACAGCAGGGAGGCATTGAAGCTTCTTGAGGAGGTCAGTGGCATAGTCATCCCTGACTTTGAAATCTCAACGTGTGGCACTCACTCTAGTCGTGGATGACCCCAAATTCAGTGTTCTTTCCCTACTGTACCATGTCACCTACAGGCGTCAAGTAATAATAGAGAGCAGCTAGAATGTGGAGGCCCAAGATCACCCTAGGAGAAAAGGTTCTCCTTCCTTACCATGCCCCAAGATTATGGTAATTAGAAAAATATATAATTCTTCCCCAACTTGGGGCTCAGTCTGGCCTATAGATCTTGACGATTCTTTGGTCAGGAGCTGCTGGAACCTTAGCGTTATCATGCTTGAGGAGCCGGGGGTGGGATGTCTCCCCATCATCCTCTGGAGGCAGCGAGCCTCCAGGCCTGACTTTGGCATCCAAGGACCAGAGTCCATGTCCTGCTCTCTATTACCTACTTGACCCAGAGATCCCTATCCTTGGCCGGGGTGCCACCTCCCTAAGAGGGAGCGTCAAGACGGCAGAATTGCCAGCTGTCCAAACCACCCACGGGGCCTTGGGAACATATTGTAATGGATCTTTTTTTTTTTTAATTCAGAATTTGATAAATAGCAAGAAAGGGGAAACATTGCCACACTGTGAAATTGTGTCTCTGATTCTGTACGGCTCGCTTTTTACAAAGTGCTCTGTAATCAGTTCCACTTGTGATTTCAAAAGCTGTCCTGCTTGTCTGTGTTTCCTTCCAAGCTTCTTCTGTACATGTAAAAGTCTTTCAGGGGCCTGCTTTTGTTTCTTTTCCTTTGGAGGTGGGAGGGGGGCATCTCAGTAACTAGTACCCCTCTTCCTCCCCCAGTTTTAAAAAAAAGTCCTCATCCAAGCTGGGGCCGTCGCCCGTCAGGAGGCTGGGGGCGCAGTTCCTCCAGGCCTCAGGAATGGCCTCAGGAATTGTTTATGTTCAGGTTTGTAGCCAACTTAACTTGTGCTGACAGCTGACAGCCTCTTGGCAAGCCCCAGGCTGGAGCTGGGACGCATAGGGCAAGGGCGGGCGCCGCAATCATGGATAGAAACTTGAAGCCCCGCAGGGCCAAGCGTTCTCACTTGCCAGAAGAATTGGGAGCGAGGGAAGGTCAAAGACATCCAGGCAGTCGTGGGCGGAGAAATCTGTCAGGGCGTGGGCGCTGGCTTATCAATGACGCACCCCCCCCCAAACAGTTTTTTCCGTCCACCTGCGGGTGCTCCAGCCTCTCCAAGCGTCCGCGAGAGCCAAGCCCCAGCACGCGTTAGGCCCATTAGGATCTTGGGATGACGGAGAGGAGCAGACACCCCCGGCATGAAAAGAGGAAGCGCTCTGGCGACGCTGGCAGCGAGAAGGCGTGTGCCGGTGGCGGAGGAGGGCTCCAGCGGGCACGCAGCGGGCTTGTGTGCATCCTGCAGCGGGCTCCCCTTCCCAGGCACCTCTCAGTAACGGTTCTGTTCTCTCCCGCCAGAGTCACTCTGCATACCTCTCGGGCCTGTACGGAGCCCCCCAGATGGGCGTTTTCCCACATCAGCACCCTGTGAGTGACCCACCCCTCTCCCCACGCTGCTCTTGGCCTTTTTCTTTCTTTCTCTGAAAACAGAGGCTCGTGTTTTTCTGGTGCTTTTAATATTGCAAAGAACTGTGTATTGCTTATTGAGAGGCAGCATGGGGCACTGTGTAGGGCACGAGACGTCAGCACAGGAAGTCCGAGGTTCAAATGCTGCTGCTTTGGGTACATCCAAGCTGTGAGATCTTGGGCAAGTCACTGAACCCCTCTCAAAGCCTGAGCTTCCTCATCTGTAAAATGAAGGGGATGGTTTTGGTGGCAGCAAAGGTCCTTTCCGGCTCCATATCCGTGGCCCTGAGATCTCACTGATCCTTCCCACAGCGGGCAGAGCAGAGCACAGAAGGAGCAGTGCTGGTGAGTCCCAGGACTCAGATTCAGATCCTGGCCCTGTCAGTGAAGTGTAGTAGCCAGGTGACCTTCAGCGAGTGACTTCCCCTCTCTGGGCCCCACTTCCTCCTCTGTAAAATGACAGCACTGTTGCTGTGGGGCCCTTCTAGGGCTGCAGCAGCATCACGTGACCAGTCCTGAGGAGGGTACTTGAGGGACCACCTCCATTCTGCAGAGGAGAAGACAGGCTGAGGGTGGAAATGAGTCACCCAAGGTCAACAGCTACCGTCCAAGGTGCGAGATTGTGTTTGTTAACAACAGCAGTAGTAACAACTCACATTTATGTGATGCCTTAAGGTCTACAAAGCACTTTTATCTCTTTTCATTTGGTCCTTTGGAAAGTAGGTACTATTATCCCTGTTTGACAGATGAGGAAACTGAGGCTAGCTCTAAATCTAATTGCTTTGGCTCCAAGTTGGCTGGCAGCTCTTGGGGCACTCAGCATTTTTGGTGACACTCCCTGGTCAGACAGATGCCTGGACATTTAGATCACATGTCTCGGCTTTACCTCGTTCGTATTCAGAGTTACCTTGCTGGGAGAGAAATCACAGAAAATCAGCCAGCAGGCTCAGACTCTGGGTTGGGGTGCACACCTCTCCTCCCCAGCAAGCATGCGGAACGAGCAAGGCCCATGGCAGCAGATGCTGATCAAACTGTCCATATGCATCTATGAAGCCTTGGGAGTGGGCGCACTCCGGAGGGCTTCCTCTGGGGCTGGCAACTTCTGGGAGCCAGCCTTGCAGCCAGCCAGGCCTGGCTTCCGGTCCCACCCCTGGCACATCATGGCTGTGTGATCCTGGACAGGAAACTCTCACTGCATCTAGGCGCTCTCTAAGGCCTTCAGTGGGAAAGGGAGTTTCCTTGTCTGGGAGTTCCTCGAAATGATGAGATCCCAGGTCTCGACAAGGTGTCTCCCGATTTTGTGGTGACTGGTGCGGACAGCTTGGGCTGGGGACTGCTTGGTGTCTCTGCCTCACTCCCCAGTGCCTTTTGTGCATTTCCCTGGGAACAGGCAGAGGGACCGTTTCCAGGCTGTCCTGAGAGCCCCAGAGATCTCCCTTTCCTCTGCTGGAAGGAGGACATATGGACAAAGCCTTCCCGCTGGGGAGGGGTGGGAAGAGATCGCCTTCTGGCCTGACTGCTGACTCCAGTCCCTCCTCCCTCCTCTTCCTATCCCATTCTGTAACTCTTCTCTTGGGAGTCCACCAAGACCCTCCCTTCCTCCTTTCTTCTCTCCACATCAGCCGGACTGCAGCCGTCCTCCTGACTGCTTCATCTTATCAGGTCTCCCAGAGCACAAGCAGGGGAGGGGTTCGCTGTGGCCACAGGATTCTGCAGGGGCTGGTCTGGCTGCTCCTTAAACAGGCCTCTGACCTTCTCCTAGTTCACTCCTAGTCCTGAAGACTAGTCCTCTGGTATCTAACATCCCTTGGTCACATGGTCTAGAGGGCAGAGTCAGGGGAGTCAAATCCCCCCACCCCCACCCCGTGTTAATTGTCTCTGTGACCCTTAGTACATTTCACTTCCCTGGGCCTTGGTTTGCTCTTTTCTCAAATGGGCTGGGCGAATGGGAGGGTAGGACACGATGTCCTCTGAGGCCCCTTCTCCCTCCCGATCTCGGGTTTTACAAAACCTGTCCAAGCATCAGCTAAGTCAGCTGGGCTGGACGGCCTCCCTTCTGTAGCCTCTGGGTGGTCCCAAATGGCCTCTGTGAGTGCCAGGTTCCGTGGCTTTAGTTTGGGGGCGTAGGATGGGGGCTGGCCGGGATGGGCTCCGAGGCCCCGTCCAGCTCTGGCCGATGTCGAGCCTGTTTTTGAGGGGGTGTTCCTGTCTCTCCTCCCCTCCCTCAGGTGCCTGAACAGGAAGTGGTATACCTCTTCATCCCCACACAGGCTGTGGGGGCCATCATTGGCAAGAAGGGCCATCACATCAAGCAGCTGGCCAGATTCGCTGGGGCCTCCATCAAGGTAAGGGGGCTCATTTGCTCATTCAGCGTGCAGACACTGGGCTGAGTGCTGGAGACACACAGATGAAAGCAAACCGTCTCTGCCCTGGGGAAGCTTCCGCTCTGTGGATTCTTTCACTGTGTTTTTTAAGCGCCTAATCTGTGAGAGGCGCTCGAGACACAAGGTCAGCAGTGAAATATTCCCTGCCTTCAAGGAGTATCCATTTTACTTGGGGCTGGGGAGCCAGGCAGGTCACAATGTGTGAACTGGCAGGAGGAGGAGGGATGGGCTAAGCCACAACCTCTGCGTTTCTGATGTGCAGTGCTGCCCGGACCAGGCCAGATTGCTCATTTAAAGGGGGGGAAAGCCTTTTGAACAAAGGGCTCTTTGAAAGGGATGAGCATCCTAAAAGGGGGGGGGGCCCTGCCCCAGTGATGCAAGCACAGCTGATGTCCTTGGATTGGCCAGAGAGGCCACTTTGAGCCCGAGAAGGCCACCATCTCTGTGTAGTCTGATCCCCACATCCTGTAATCCCCTAAAATGGGCAGTCATCAGAGAGGCTGAGAGGGAATGGTTCTTGGCCCCTGGCTGGGCTCCTAGCCTCCAGATCGGCTCGGCCTCCTGGCTGGGATGCCAAGCAGTCCCCCACGGCCTCCTTCGACACCCGGGCAGACAGAGCTTCAGTTGTTACAGAAAAGCATGGGCTCCCATGAGACAGCCTGGACTTCCAGAGAAGGGGGTCTCGTGACTTGAAGGTGGAGAGGGCCAACACTCCTCCAGAGCTAGGCAGAGCTCAGAGGGCAGCGAGCATGTTGGAGGAGAAGATACTCTGAGTGGTGTAGAAGGCAGAGCATGTGGGGCAGGGTCAGAACAAAGTCATTCAATCTCCCCCCCCCCCTTTTTGGAGAAGATGTGCCTGGGGCCTAAAAGGGAGAGTGACTCAGCCCGGGTCACACAGAAAGTTAGTGGCAGAGCCAGGACTTGACACCTCATGTGGGGCATTGGAAAGAGGGCTAGATTTGGAATCCAAGGCCCCACCTTCCAAACCGGGGTCCGTCTGGCCTGGGGCAAGATGGCCCTCAGGTCTCCCTTCCCTAAAATGGGGAGCTCTAACCATACCCCCAAAGGCCTGGAGTCAGACGGACCTGAGGCCTTACTTACTAGTTGTATGACTCTGGGAAAGTCACTTAATTTGTCTCCCTCAGTTTCCTCATCTGTAAAATGGGGATAATAACACCACTTCCCACATAGGGTGACTTGCCCAAATTAAGTGGCAGAGGTCTCATAGTTCCACGATTAGCTCTCTTTAAGTGGAAGGGACCTCAGAGGCCATAGCCCAACCCACTCGTTTTACAGATAAGGAAACTGAGGCCCAGGGAAGCAAAGCGATGTGTTCAAGGGCTAAAGGTCAGAAGTGACAGAAGTAGGATTTGAACCCAAGTCCCTGGCACTCTGGTAATGGCAGTAGCTTGTGTTTCTTATATCTCTTCTAATTTTATTTTTTAATTTTTTAATTTTTTATTTTTTGGAGCAGCAAAACTGACTCAGTTTATTTTTCTGAAGGTACAGAATATACATAGAGAAAATCCATCCTAACTTCAAAGAGTCCTCCCCGTGAGACACTCCCCAAAACATCTGCTAAGGATGTGATAACATACATTTCCTCCTTATCAGAGTTCCTAGATAGGGTTGTAAATTCCAAGGCTTTTTCCTGGTGCCTATATAGAGGAGTGAATATGTAAATCTAAGGTTCAAAGAGTGTATCTCTTCTGATTTTAGACCAGGACTTCTTAACCTGAGATCCATAAATTCATGGGTAGATTGCAGGGGGTCCATAAATTTGGATAAGAAAGAAAATTATGTCCTTATTTTCAGTAGCTTCTAACTGAAATTTAATTATTTAAAAACATGGTTCTTCGAAGGGCTCCTTCATGTTTCCCAGCTGGCTGCCGGGGACCTCGTCACAAAGAAGGCTAAGAACCCCTGGCACGTGAGGCCAGGCCTTGTGTGCCCAGGGTCTGGTACGGAGGTACCCAGGAAGGTGCTATTCTCCAGACAAGCCTGGGGGAGAGGTAGTGCCCATTCATCCTGCAGATGAGGAAGCTGGGGCTTACTCAGGCTCCCAAAGCTCACTGCAGAGTCAGATCTCCAGGACTGGCCTCTCCTCCCCTCCCCCTCGCTCACACCTTGTGGCCCAGAAGGCCTTTTGTGTGTGGCCACTCAAGAGAGCTGCACAGGGGAGAGAGGCCTGCTCGTCTCCCTGGTATACGGGCAATATCCTTTTGCCAAGAGCAGAGGTGAGAGGGCAGAGCTAGACCTTTAGCAACCAAAATAACAGCAAGCATTGATTAGGCACCTGCTGTATGCCTGGCACTGTGCTAAGCACTGAGGATACAGAGAGACTGAAAGGCAGTTCTTGCCCTCAGGGAACTTACTTTCTACCGGCTTTGTACAAAGGGGATAGTGGAGCACATCAGCAGGTGTAAATGCCGAGGACTTACTGTATAACTAGGGTGGGGGTAGGACCAGGAAACGCCTCCTGTGAGAGGTGGCCCTTGAGGTAGGCTTTGAAGGGTGTTGGGGATCGATTCTGAGAGGCAGAGCTCAGACGGATGTCCATCCCGGGCACGCAAGACAGTCTCAGCAAAGGTGAGAAAGTGAGACGTGGCGGGTTAGGTCCGTTTGGCTGGACCAGAGAGGGTGTGAGTGGGAGTAGAAGAGCTGGAAAAGGCCCAGAGGGGTGTTTATGCTTGATCCAAAGACGATAGGGAGCCATTGAGATTCCTTGAGGACTGACGTAATCAGACTTGGGCTTCAGGACCATTTCTGGCAGCTGTGTGGAGGATGCTAGATGAGAGAGCCGGTGCCTGGGCTGCGCTCAGTCGGGCTGGCCGACGAGTGGTTAACGTGGCCAGTTGAGAGGGGGGGAAGGGGGTCTTCCCAGCTTGCACTGAATGAGGAATCTGTGAATCATCCATCAGTCACCAGGCTGTGGGCTCAGGCAGGGAGGGGCCTTTGTCAGCAAGGATGACGTGTGACTTGGCCCCAGGGGCCATGGCGTCAGAGCACCAGAAGACACTGTGCGTCACTGCCTTGACTTTCCCCCTCTCCTCAAGACAAGGATGTGAGTTAATGCTGATTCGGGATCTTAAAATGGTGGGTGCAGTTTCAGCCCCATCTCTTTGCTCCTAGCCACAGGGCTTTGGGGCTGCTTTTAGCTGCCACGGTCTGGGCTTCTTGGGGGTGCAGGAGGGAAGGTGAAATGTGAGATTTTTTTCTTCCCCCAGATCCATGATTTCATTGGCATAGGGTGGGGTACAGTCATTCCCTCCACCCCCAGAGGTCAGGCACTCTGGAGGCATTTATCGAGTGCCTCCTGTGAGCCAGGCATTATCCTAAGCTCTAGATGCAGGCCGTGACAGTGCAGAAACCAGTCTCTTCTCCAGAAGCCTGCGTGGCACATAGTAGGTGCTCGATAGCCGAGTGAGTGAGTGGTTCTCCTAGAGGAGGGAATTCAGTATGCATATAGATAAAGAAAGAGAGAATAACTGGAGTGAGAAGAAAGGAAGCTCTAACCTTCAGAGAGAGAGAGAGAGAGAAACCTCCAGAACAAAGGGGCAGGAGGTGTGAGGAGGCCTGTGGGGATGCCGTAATGCAGAGTCTCCTGAAATAGGAAATCCTCTCCATCCCATTCTTGGCTTCCTCACGGTGGCCATCACTCCCCACTCTCCGATCAGGAAAGGCTTAGCTCCTCCTCTCTCATCTAATAATAGCAATGGCCAGTGAAGTGCAGTGTTGCCCCATCTCCTCCAAGCAAGGGCATGGAGGCTGGGGAGGGGAGGGGAGGGGAGCTGTGGGATAAGCTCACAGCTCGAGGCCAGCAGTTCTCAAATTGCTTGGTCTAAGGGCTAAAAATTGCTAAGGCCCCCGAAGAGCTTCTGTTTATGTGGGTTGTAATCATTATTTACTCTGTGAGCAATTTAGTTTTTAAAAAATATTCACTTAAAAATAACATTAAATCTATTCCATAGCAATGTGAATGCCATTCTTTAATGAAAAAGTAAATGTTTGTTGAACGCAGTCTTTAAATTGGGTGGTTATTTCTGGTGGGAAAGAAGAGGTTTGAACGGGACAGGCAGGAAGGTGTGCGTTTCCCAAAGAAGGAGTTTAGAGAAGAGAGGCATGGCCAGAAGGCACGGGTGCTCCGGGCTGGCTGCGTCCAGGCCTGGAATGCCTTCCCTCCCTGCCAAGAGTCCTTCTCTTCCTTTCTGACACCACCCAGGCGCCGTCCTCCACATGAACCTTTTCCCAGGTCCTCAGCTGCTGGTGCCACCCACCCTCCCCCAAGTACCTTGCATTTGACTCCTCTGCTTACGTCTGCGTGTCCTTTCTATGTGTGCTTGTTTCCCCGTGAGAACGTGAGCTCCTTGTGAGTGAGAGATGATTTTGTTTTCTGTACTTGGCACACAGTAAGCACTTAATAAATGCTTATGGATCAATTAACCTGTTGTCCCTTGCCGTGCATTTCCAGATTGCTCCTGCTGAAGGCCCGGATGTCAGTGAGAGGATGGTCGTCATCACCGGACCACCTGAAGCCCAGTTCAAGGTCAGTGCCTTGACCCCGCCACATCCGTGCCCCTGTGCCAGGCTCTAGGGCCAGAGTGTAGCCTGTCAGGATTGAGAATTGTCTGTCTGGTGGGGGACGCTGCCCTGGGGAACGTGGAGCTCAGATGGAGAAGGCGCAGACGCTGTCGAGAGGCTTGGGGCCTCTCTGGGAAGCTGTCCAGGTCCTCCTCCTGCCCCGGGTCCCATCACTGATCCCCTCCTGCTAGCTGAGCAGCAGGGGGCTGGACTAACTGTATCTTCTTGGCACTCCCTTTCTCAGGCCCAGGGGCGGATCTTCGGGAAACTGAAGGAGGAGAATTTCTTTAACCCCAAAGAAGAAGTGAAGCTTAAGGCTCACATTCGAGTGCCCTCCTCGGCCGCTGGCCGTGTGATTGGAAAAGGTGGCAAAACGGTGAGTCTCCCTTGGCTGTGACCCTATCCTGGGGCCTTCCCTCCCTCCCCATGTTTGGTCCTGTTACTCCTCAGCTGCCCACGGCTCCTGGAAAGAACTGGGGGACTCCAGGGGTTAGCCCATTTCTGCCCTGTGGAAACTGAGGCAGCTGAAATGCAGCCAGCAATCCTGAGCAAGAGAGGCGTGGTTGGACCTAGCTCACTTTGGTGGCTGAATGAAGGATGGATTGGAGAGGGGAGGGACTTCAAGCAGGCAGGAGCCCCCCACCTTCCCCAGCAGGGATTGCAGCAGTCTGGCGCTAAGGTGATGAGGGCTGCACTAGGGTGGGAGCAAAGTCAGAGGACAGACGTGTTTGAGAAGTGTTACGAAGGGAGAAATGACAGGATCGGCAGCAGAGCGGATGAGGAGGGAGGAGATGGAGGAGGTGAGGGCGCCCCCAAGGTTTCTTTCGAGTCTGGGGGATCAGAAGGAGTGTCTCTGGGGCAGCTAGGTGGCGCAGTGGATAAAGCACCAGTCCTGAAGTCAGGAGGACCTGAGTTCAGATCTGGACTCAGACCAAACACTTGACACTTAATAACTATAGCTGTGTGACCCCGGGCAAGTCACTCAACCCCAACTGCCTAAAAAGAAAAAAAAAGGAGCCTCTCAGATTTTCAGTTGATTTCTCCAGTTTGGCCTGGCAGGGGGCTCCCCTTTTTCCTCTAGCCCAGGGGCATGGAGGGGATGCCAAGACCTGTGGCCACCACGTTCTGTCCCACACTTGAACACTGTCTGAGGCAGGAAATGTCAGCATCACACCGTAACGGGTCTGTCTTGTACCTGTGGCACTCTCTGGATGAATTGTAGTGGCGACCAGGAGAGTGGGAGCAGCAGAATGGACGTCCGGAAAGAAACATTTCAGGGGCTCGTAGGGTCATGGGTTTAGAGCTAGAGAGGGCCTCTTGTTCACTCCTTGTGTCTTACAGAAGAGGAACCTAAGGTGCGGAGAAGGGAGATGACTTGGATCATAAACTCATAGACGGGGATAACTCATAATACGTGGGGTCACCTCGAAGATGGACAGAGACAGCTTTACCTCTCTGACCTGTCAGGGCCATAAGGGTTCCGGCATGAGGTTGGGCCACTGTCAGAGGCAGCTAAAAGTGAAGTCTGACTGAGAGGCGAGGCTTCTACCCCGCCACTTCAGGGCTGTCATCCAGAGTGCTGTCTCTTCTCCTTGGCACCTAGCCAGATCCTTCAAGGAAGTAGCATGATTTATTTGCAAAAAAAAAAAAAGAAAAAGAAAAGAAAGAAACAAAAAACAAACAAAACCTCCAGAACTCTCAGAGGGAAGATACAGATTTTTATTCCTGGCTCTGCTACTAGCTGTATGACCTTGGATAAGTCTCTTCACCTCGAAGCCTCACGGTGCTGTTCTGTAAAATGAAGAAGTTGCATTCAGTCTCTCTGGCCCCTTCCAACTGTTGCAGGTCTGAAATCAACATGGCTACTTCTTAGCCACCGTGTGGTGAAGGATGGGCTGGTGGGAAGAGGAGATCAGTGCCTCTCTTTGCCTGTCAGCTCCCTGTAACACTCGCTGCTGCCTCCTTGCCTTTCCACTCTCATCCCTCCAACCACTGTCTCTACCAGAAATACAACTCCAGCTCTCTTCTAATTAAACACTTTTTTTTTTACTTCCTGTTCCCTCTCTACCCTCTCCTCCCCATCTCACACAGGTGAATGAATTGCAAAACTTAACTAGTGCAGAAGTCATCGTGCCCCGGGATCAGACGCCCGATGAGAATGAAGAAGTGATTGTCAAGATCATTGGCCACTTCTTTGCCAGTCAGGTACCTGTGGTTTGGTTTCCTCCATCCCTTTAACCTTCTGGCCAAGCTTTGAGGGATCTAATCATGGTGGTCAGTGGGACCTGGAGGCCTCTTGCTTCCAGATTCCCCAGACGCACTGCCCACACCCGATAGATGTTCTTTATACATTTGATTGAGTGATTTATGAGGGTTTCCCGCTGGTCTTGTTTTTCCTTTGTCCCTGGCAAGGCAGTGCCCGGGGCAGAACTCCCCTGGCCTCCTCAACATCCCTCACTGTGCATCTCATGGGAGCTCCCACCTTGTGTACCTGTCAGGCTCCACGGGGAGATCAGGCAAGGAGAAAAAAAAGATATCTTAGTGAATTCAGTGGTTCAAGCCCATGCATGTTAGAAGCTCTGTACAAAAGGCTGTACTCAACTTTCCTCTGCCCAGCCTGCGCTGCTGCTTGGAAGCCTAGGTCTCTTCTACTCGGGCAAGGGCAGACTCAGGTTGCTGAATTTGGAGTCAGAAGACCTTGGTTCACATCCTGCTTGACACCTTGGTGGTCCTTGGGAAGTCACCCCCTGTCCCCACTCCCGTTCCTCTCCTGCTCACAGCCTCGCGGATCTCAGTTTCTTCATCTGTGGTAGACTAGAGGACTCTGAGGCCCCTCCCAGATGCCCAAACTGAGGTGCTCTGATCAGGCCCCTAGGCCACGGAAAGCAGTCGCCCAGTGAGCCACCAGCCAGGAGAAATCCTGTTTTCTCTTCTTTGGGAAGTAGGTGCTTAAATGAATGCTCGGCCATTGAGCCTGGCTGTGTGATTACCTGTGACTGCAGGCAGGTCTTAACATCTCTCGGCCTCAGTTTCTCCATCTGTAAAAGGAGGGAGCCTGAGGTCACTTCCTGCTTTAGACACCATTCGACTCCATCTTCCTCTGACCTCACTTGGTCTTAGCTCCCTGTAGGTGTCCGAGGGAGCTGCTGACCCCCCAGCTCTCCCAGACCCCACTGGGCAGGCAGTCAGAGGTGGCCTCGGTGTGTGTGGAGATGGGAAGAAGTGCTCTGAGCTCCCTTCTGGCTCCTCTTCTCTTGTGCCTCTGCTACTTAATATTTGTATGGCCTTGCCAAAGTCCTTCTCATTGGAACCTCAGTTTCTCCTCTTACACAATGAGAGCCCTCTTAACACCTGATCTAGGATGCTGGGGCCCCCGGGAAACTCAGCTCCTTTGCTGGTTCTCTGCGTCTCCTGAAAGCCTGGGTGGGAGCAGCTTTGGGAACACACACCCAAACTGGGGTGTGGAATGACCGCAGCCCTCATTCATCCGTTCTGTCCTGGTATTGTGCCTGGCCCAGCTTAAGGGAGCAGCCCTGAGCTCCCTGCGGGCACTGGGCATTCCCCAGCTGCTGCTTGGCCCTGCGCTTTGCCCTGGGCCTCCGCACTCATTGATTTGCTATCTAGAAGGTCCAAAGAAGAGGACTTGTGGCAGGCTGGGGAGTGGGCTTGGTTTGTCCTTTCTGTTGGTGCCTAGGTCAATGCCTTGAGCCTGCCCGGGGTGCCCCCACCCCCGATCCCCATCCCTCTCTCAGCTTAGCTGCCAGCTCATCTCGAGGGAGTCCCAGGTGCTACTGTTGGGGCTCCAGCTACATATGGACTCAAAGTCTGGTTCCCCTCTCCCTTTCTGTTTCTCTTTCTCCCTGTGTCTCTGTGTCTTCCTCTCTCTTTACCCCGCCTCCACCTCCTGCCTTCCCTCCTTTACAACTCCCTCTTCCTTTGTGGTCCCTTCTCTCTCTCCCTCCCTGATCTCTCCTATCTCTGCCTCTCCCTTCCTATCATACGCCCTTTCTTGACTTCCTTCCCCTGCCCCTATCTTCTGTTAACCTCTCCCTTTTGTCTTGTTCCTTTTCTCCTTTTCTGTTCTGTCACTCCCATTTCTTTTCTCCTCCGTCCATCACTTCTGCCTCCTTTTTCTTCTTCCTTCTCTCTCTGCCCATCCCTCTGTATCTCTCCCCATCTCTGTCTCTGTCCTTCTGCCCACCCGTCTGGTCTGCTCCCTCTCTCTCCTCTGTCCACCTCTCCATGGGTGTATCTCCTTCCCCTGCCTTGGTCCCTGCCCCTCTGTGTGTGTGTGTCTCTCTCTCTCTCTCTCTCTCTGTGTGTGTCTCTCCCTGGCTGCAGACGGCCCAGCGCAAGATCAGGGAGATTGTCCAGCAGGTGAAGCAGCAGGAGCAGAAGCATCCTCAGGGAGCGCCGCAGCAGCAGCAGCAGCGAACCAAGTGAGAGGCTGCCTCGGGTACAGGCCAGCAAAACCACCACAGATGAATGTAGCCCTTCCCATGCCGGACAAAACAAGACCAAACACAGACAGACAGATCGGGGAGCAAACCAAAGACCCTCCTGAGAAAAATAAGGAGGCTGCCCAAGGCTGGGACTCTGCAGAAACCTTGAGAACGCTTGCATCCCACGGCTAGGTGGCCCCGGGGAGAAGGTGGGATCAGGAGCATGTGATCATCCAGATGCTGGACCAGGTGTGCCTGAGCATCCCCTTTGCCCTGCACGCGTACACACGCACACACACGCACACACACACACACATACATACATACATACATACATACATACATACATATGCAAACACATACCAAGCAGGGACCTGGCCCACCTGGCCCCAGGGTTTCTGCAGGCTTCCCCGATGACAATACTCCCATTCCCCGTGCAGTCTAACTCCCATGACTCTATCCCTTAAGTTGGACTAACATAGGTGGACGTGTTCAAAACAAAGCTCAATTCTCACCCAGTTTTTGGAAGAAACACAAAATTGGTTCTGTACACACATGTATGTACATGTACAAGGGGTCAAGAAGTTCTATCATATGTGCTACCCAGGCGTACCAGGCCATGCCTACAGCATTACTATATTGTAGAACTGATATATATCGGTAACTCGACTAACTCCAATTTAAAAACAAATTATTAATTTTTTTATTTCCTTTGGAAGAGAAAGCAGGCTCTTCTAGAGTTTAAAGTCACCCGCTGGGAGAGCTAAAGGGGTAGAAGCAGCTTTAGAAACGCTGGCACAAAAATTGAGGAGGGGGAGGGGGAGGGAGGGGGCTTAGGAAGGTACTAACAGCACCGTGCAGTTGGGCATCAGCTGTGTGTGCCAACAGAAGGGATACCGTCTTTGAGAAGAGGAATCTCTTGTCTCCCTTCATCTGTATACAGCTCACATATCCTTTCCTTTTTTTTTTTGCTTCACAGGTTCTAAACTGGTTTTGCATACAGCCATATAATTGTGTCTTTTCCTCCCCCTCTCTGCTCCAGTTTTTCTTGTCCTCCTCCCCTCTCCCTTCAGTCTCTCTTCCTTCTCTCCTTCTCTCTCCACACCCCCAGGCAAAGCAGTGCTCAGAGTAACACATCACAGAAAAAAAATCAAACAGCCACAACTTCTATTTAGGTGATTGAATAGGAAAGGAAACAGTCTCAATGGTACTCATTCCAGCAATCTTCAAAAAGGAAAGAAAAAATAATCCCACTCAGAAAAAAACAACTTTTGTCTTTTTTACATCTGTTTATTTAGGACATAGCCACCAATTTGTGGGGAAGTAATTTTCTTTCTTACAAACAAATCAAAAACAAGTGGGGAAAAAACAAAAAAAGAAAATTACCAGAGGTTGTTGGCCCACAACATAGAAATTGCAAATTGAAAAAACAAAAATGAACAAAAAAAAATTTAAAGGAAAAAACAAAAAACAAACAAAAAAAACTACCTCAGGTGTTTTTGTACCTCAGCACCTTGATCTTGTGTTTCCCTTTTAGAGATTTTGTATGCCTTGTAAACTGAGAGTTGGAGCATTTTTTTTTATTTTTTTAATAAAATCAAGTTGGAAAAAAAAAATAGATGCCATCTAGGAGGTGACATCCAGGTGTGCGCCAACCATTCTCAGCTGTCCTAGGCTGGCTGACAGCTGATGGCCTTCTTTAGGGCAGACCTTGAAAATGTTTATTGAAAAAAAAATGATTAAAAGAAAAAACCAGGGAAAGAAAGGCTTAGCAATGTCCTGAGTGTGTTAATAGAGTACGTGCCATTAGGGTTTTGTGCGCTAAAGGATGAACATGTTACTGGTCTATGTGAAATTGCCGATGTGCCAACAGACTGCAATGCCAGTTTCCTCTACTGCAAACAGTGTTCTGTGAAAAAACAAAAAACACACAAAAAAAATAACAAAAAAAAAAGGCAAAAAAAAAAAGAAATATATCCAGCTAACAAGAGCCGACTTAGTCGTGATCTCGTTTATTTTCAGCCTGGCTTCAGCCAAGGGATACTTCCCAGAGGATCTGTGGGGATGAGGAACTCAGGATGGAGGTCACAGGGAACCTTGGGAGGCAGAGCTGTGGGTGTGGGATGGGGAGGAAGGGACATGATAGAACGAAATAACGTTGACTTTTAGGATTGACACCCAGCACCAAGTGTATCTTGAGTCTGAGGTTTCATTCAACAGCAAATAGCTGAAGATGTGTTGTGTGGAAAGCACACTGGTGGTCTGTGGTACTCGGGAGCGTAGAACACAGGTTCTTTCTTTCTCCCAGGAGCAGTGCTTTAGCTGTGACAATAGACACATGCAAAGCAGGACTGTCATCCACTCTCACTTGGTCTTCCTCAGTCCCCATTTAATGACCATCTCCGTGCTGATGGCTGTCACATCTACCTGTCCTGCCCCAGCATCTCTGCTGACCTCCATTCTCACATCTCCAGCCGCCTCTCAGACATCTGTTGCCAAGGCCAGTCGATTTCACTTGCGCAACATCTTTTGAATGACACTGCCACCCCTCTAGTGCAGACTCTGAGGAGAGCTAGGAAAAATGACAAGAGTTGTTTGGATGTTTCCAAACTGGGAGTGGAGCCAGAGCAGCCGTGCAGCAGGGAGGCTGATGGGAAAGTGGGAGTGAACTACACACACCCGACAGGAGGGAATAATACCCACACTGGATCTCAGGTCTGTTGGGATCCCATAGGTGGTCTGTCCACGGGGACTGTTCTGTAGCATCTGATCATGACACAGAGTTCAGTATGACCCAGTAGTGAACTGCTGGGGAAGCAGCCTTGCAAAGGATTCCAGCAGGCGTGGGAGATGGCGCCGTTTGGTTGAAGCAAGAAACAGACCAGTTAGTCAACAGTCATTTATTTATTAAGTGCTTACTATGTGCCAGGCACTCGCATGAGGTGCTGGTGAAAGAAAGAAAAACCAAACAGTCCTTGCCCTCAAGGAGCTTACATTCTAACGGGGAAGACATACAAAAATAACCAATACATACAAAATACAATACAGAGCAGATGGTCATGAGAACCAGCCTTAGAGGGGACACCACCAGCAGCTGGGAGGACCAGGCTCCTGGCACGGGGGTTGCTCCAGTGGAATCTCAAACAATGCCAGACACGGGGAACAAAAGGCACAGAGTCCAGGAGAGGAGGTTCTTGTGAAAGGAGCAGCAAACAGGCCAGTATGTCTGGATTGTAGAGCGCATGGAGGAGCACAGGGAAAAGTAGGAAGGGGCAGGCTGTGAAACAGACAACATCGTATCCGATCTTGGAGGTAATGGGGAGGCAGCTGGTGGCTCAGTGGATAGAGCACTGGGCCCGGAGTCAGACAGACCTGAGTTCAAATCCAGCCTCAGACACTTTCTAGGAGAAGAAAATGGCAAATTCCTCCATTATCTTAGCCAAGAAAAGCCTTGGACAGACAGTCCATGAGATCACAGAGAGTGCGATGTGACTAATGGAATGAATAATAGGGAGTCTCAGTTTACTGAGCAGGGGGTGACATGGTCAAACTTAGGCTTTAGGAAAATCACCTTGACAGCTGAGATGGAGAGGAGCTTGAGGCAGGACAACTGGAAGGCTACTGCAATAATAGAGGTGAGAAGCAAAAAGGGCCCGACTTAGGCTGGTGTCCAAGTAAGGAGATGCTATGAAGAAAGCAGCTCCAAGGTTTGACAACTGAAGAGACACGTGGGGTAACGGGCTGTGAGCGTGTGGGTGAAGGACAAAGGTGTCAACAAGTAGTAGGAGAGGGGGGAGCCTTTGGGACGTGCATCATCCTGTCTAGGGGGCAGGTGGTGATGCTGGACATGGGAGCTGATGAGAGACTACAGAGAAAAGGGTGAAGGCCCAGGATAGTGCCACAGTTAGTGAGCAGGACCTGCATGAAGATCAGCAAGAATGACAGAGGTCAGGAAGGAAGAGAACCAAAAGACAGGAGGAGTCACCCACCAAAACCCAGGGAGCTTTTTATGCAGGAGGAAATGGCCAACAATGTCAAAGGCTGCAGAAGAGGTCAGGAAGCAGGAGGCCTCAGAAGAGGCTGGGAAATTTAGCAATTAAGGCTGGTCACTGGTGACTGAAGAGGCAGGAAACCAGACTGCAAAGAGCTTGGAAAAAAGGTGAGGAGACTGAGCAGGGCCACTGATTGTCGGCAGGTTCTCCAAAAAGAGAAGATGTCTCAAAAACAGCTGGCAGGCAGAGTAAAGAGCTAGTGAGGGTTCTCCTCACTAGCTCTTAGGCATGTCTCAGGCACGTTTTAGGTGCTAGGGAAGGACAGACAGACTGAAGATTAGGGCCAGGATAAGATGGTAGGGGGTGAGGAATGGGACCAAGAGCTTAAGTAAATGGGAAGGCCACATCATCTGGGACAGGGGCAAGTGGGGAGGAAATATCATAAGAAGGGATTAAGAATTCCCTCTCAAGGAATGGCTACAATCCTGTTGGCAAAGTAGGAGGGGAGGTCAACAGAGAGGCTGGGGAAAGTGTCATGAAAGAGCTGAGAGAAGAAAAGGTTTGGAACGACTTTGTGGTGAGTGGGATAAGAGAACAGTAGAACTGCCTTGCTGTAGTGAGGGCCCAGTTGAAACATCACCTTAGAGTGGACCCAATCAGCATGGTTCTATGACTTCCTCTAGTTCCATTTATCAGCACAAGTAGGAGCAAAGGAGGAGGTGGGTGCAGGCTGTGTGGGAGAAGGGAGACAGCAAAACTAAGCTAGAGAGGTAAGACTGGAGCCAGACAACGTGGGACATGGTAAGTGTCAGGCTAAGGATGTAGTGTTCTATCCTAGAGGACATGTGAAGGATCTAAAGGCAGGATGATGTGCATTAGGAAGACTTGGAACTGTGTGAAGCTATGTAGGAAAGTGGAGACTGGAGGCAGAAAGACTTGTCGAGACTCACAGGAGTGTAGAGCAGTAGTGGCCCTGGGAGGGTAGAACAGGAGGGGTCAAAGATGCCTCCATTTCATACCTGCTTGGGTGCGGCTGGGAAAGGTAAGGAGGGAAGAGTCAGAAGACGACTGAAGTTGGAAGCTGGGGAGGGAAGGCAAATCTGGAAGGAAATGGATGAGTGAAAAATACCCACCCCTAGTCACACATTTCCAATGCACAAGAAAGTCTCTGCTCTCAAGGAGCTTGGAGGAGAGGTGCTGGGACCCAGGCAGTCACAGGGATGGGGAGAGGAACCATGTGGGAGCTGAGTGATAAGGACTGATGCTTGTTCCTTCCCTCAAGGCTGGGTGGATTAAGTCCTCCAAGGAATGGTCTCTGGGCGTTGTGGCTAAGGAGTCAAAGTGAGCGAGGAAAAAAACGGTGAAGGGGCTGTTGAGTTACAAATGCTGTAAGAAAATGTGCGGCAGGGAGACTGAGAACCCTGCATTGGGTAATTGGTGACTGTGGAAAAAAGTTTCAGGGGAGAAAAGAAGATTGCAAGAGGTTGGGAAATTTGCAGTGAGGAAGTAGAAGCCACAAATACAGTTGAAAACGATTTTTCTAAAGAGAGTATGTAACAGCTGCAAAAGGATACAAGGGTCACAGGAAGGGTTCGGGATGGATTTTCTACCTCCTTAGGGTGGGAGAGACATGAACATGTAAGCAGGAGGAGCCCCTTAGAGAGAAAGAGACTGAAGTTTAGAGGTGGAATGATCCAACCAAATCCCTGAGAAGATGCAAGGGGTCAAGTGAGGGTGAGCCAAATCACTCTATAAGGGGAAAAGAAGGAGCAAGGGGGTGGAATAAAGTAGAAACAGCTACTTCACTGAGAAAAGGAGCAGGTCAACCAACTTTTTTAATAAGCGCTTACTTACTATGTGCCAGGTTCTGTGCTAAGCACCAGGGATATAAAAAGTAGCAAAAGACTACTCTGCCCTCAAGAAGCTTACATCTTAATGGAGGAGACAACATGCAAACAAAGATGTATAAAAAGTTATATACTTTTATATAAGTTTATAAAAAGAAAACGGAGAAGGCACTAGAATTAAGAGCAATTAGGGAAGGCTTCCTGTAGGTGAGATTTCAGCTGGGACTTAAAGGAAGCCAGAGAGGTCAGCAGTCAGAGGGGAAGGGGAAGAGCATTCCAGGCCGGGGGGACGGCCAGAGAAAATGCCCAGGGCCAAGATATGGAGGGTCTTGTTTACGGAACCCCCAAGAGGCCAGTGTCACTGGACTCAACAATCTGTGTAGGGGAAAAAGGGGTAAGAAGACCGGCAGGGGAGGAGGAAAAAGGCCAAAAAGAACATGGAGCCACTGAGATTTATAAGCAGGTGGGGGTGACCTGATCAGCCTTGAACTTCATGAAAATCACTTTGACAGCAGAACGAAGGCTAGATTTGAGTGGGGATGGGCGGGCAGACCCACCATCGACAGCATAGGCAGGAGGTGATAAGGGTTTGCACCAGAGCGGTGGTGGTGTAAGAGAAGAGAAGGGGGCCTGATTCTGAGAGGAAGAAAGGGATGCCAGGCAGCAAGGGAGGAGCAAAAGCAAAGCAGCAGAGTGGACCCGTGGAGAGCCAATGAGGCCACGGATTCACAGGTGGAGGGCGTGGGGGCAATCTGCTGAAAATGGTTACTGGATGACCATGGAGGGCAAGAAGTGAGGACAGCCTCCCTCTCTTATTTCTTATGGCTGGTGGAGACAGGCTGCAGATAGACTAATGGGAAGGCCATGAGCACAGATATGGCTCCTGGCAGATAATTAGGGACACACATTCTCTCATTTAATACCCACGGCAGCCCTGTGAGGCAAGCACAAGGCACCAGCCTGGTCCAGCCCTCTGCACTGTGACCCCAAGCTGAAATCAGACCACAGAAGTTGGAGCGGGAGCCGGAAGAACTCCCGGGGCTGTCTGGTCCAATCTCTCCATCATACACAGGAGGACATGGGGCCTTGGAGAAGTTCAATCAGGTCATTGAAAGAGTAAGTGGCGAAGCAGGGATTTGAATGCAGGTCCTGACTGCAGCCCTGCCCGTATTTCCACTGTACCTCCATGCTCCCCAAAGAAACAGTGACAATGCCATTGACATTCAATAGAGAGCCTTCCACCAATCCCGATCTCCACTGGTCCACACTGGGTGTGACTCTTGTGCAAGGTCCCCTAGAAATTTACCCGGGGTCTACCCACACCAACATTTCATTGCATGTGAAAGGCAGCAGAATATCCCATTAGCCTCACAACAACCCTGTGAGGTAGGAGTGACGAGCGACGTTTACAGAGGAGGAACCTGATGGTTCAGACAGACGGGGTCAGAGGCAGGTAAAGAGCCAGGGATAAAACTGAGGGCATTTTTAAGCCTACAGGTTTTAAAACAGCATTTGCTAGTAAAAGTTCTGCAGAGCAGTCAAGACTGGCTGCTGAAAATCAGTGTTGTGTGAAACTAATTTAAGTGATGGGGAAAAAGCTTTACCAAGGGAAAAGGCACAGCAGCCCTTCCCAGCTCTTCATGTGCATCTCCCACCAGCCTCCTTACTATGAGGACACATTCTTCTGGGCTCCCCCTCCTCTAGCTTTATTCTTAGTTTTACAGGATGGCTGGGGGACAGGGAAGGGAAATGAACATTAGGAAATGAAGGTGATCTGAAAACAAAGAGGTTTTAAAATAGAAGTTCCTGCTATTGCCCAAATGCTTCTCTGGTCCTTCAAATTTGTTCCTGTATTTGGATTTACATCTCACACTGTACAATGCAGTGATAACAATGCTACTCAAAGGCCCCGAACCCACCATTCCTTTCCTCGTAGGATTCTCAGGTGAAGAATAAGGGGGGCCAGTGCCCACAAACGACAGCTGGCTTGTTTCCCAAGAGCTCCCTGGGCAGTCAGAGCATGTTCTCCCATTGGGATGATGCTGTGAGGGGAGGCAAGGTTCCTGGACCAGCTCACAAAAGCTGCTTTCAGACTTCAGTCTGGTTTGGCTAGATTTCACCTATGATTTCACTTGGGCAGGAGGGACAGTACAAACGGGGGCCTCTATTTAAACTGAAGTAGACTCTCTTTTCCAACTATCTCTCTGCTGTCCCAATGACAATCTCTCCTCCACCAATGACCGTCTATCTCTCTGACATGCCTGGTTCCCTACAGAGAGGGGAGAGAGGGGCTCTGAGGTAAAGGGGCAGAAGTGCACATTGGAGAAAGGCAGGTTAGGGCCCTGGGAACCAAAGCTAGCAAAGGTGAGGGGAGAGGCAGGGTCTCCTGGGGCAGGAGAAAGGGACCCTCCCAACAGTATCAACAGTCTCCCTTCAGAAGCTAGTGGGTATATGAATTGGTCCAACCATTAAGGAAAACAATCTGGAACTACATGGGGGAAAAAGTGACTAAAATGTGCACACCCTTGACCTGGAGATCTTACAGGTCTCAACAGGAGGCAACTACCCCAAGGAACTCAAAGACAAAAGGAAGAGTCTCACAGCAGCATGTTCTGTGATGGCAGGGAATGGGAAATGAAGGGCTAGGCATCTGTTGGGAAATGGCTAAACTGTGATGCATAAATGCAATGGAATATCACTGCATCATAAGAAAAGGCAAATATAGACACTGAGAGAAACAGGGAAAGGTTTCTACGAACTGATGAAGAAGAAAGTAAGCAGAATTAATTCCTATGACAACATAAATAGGAAGAACATTAAACTTAAATGAACACTGTGTAAATGCAATGATCAAGCTTGACCACAGAAATGAGAACTGCCCCCCCCAAGAAGTGGGGGGCCTATGGGTGTGGAGTGGTACACATGCTGTCTACAATAAACCCTTTGTTACAAAGGAGGCTGGTCGCATGTGTGCAAAGGGCATCAATAAATCTTTTGGGGAACCTGGGGATGGTTAAGAGAATTAAAAAACCCACAGGACCAGGAAAATCTTAAGAGAAACTACACCAAACCACCAATACAAGAAACGCAAAACAAAACAACTGTCAAAGCCTCATCTCCAGCCCAGCAAATTATCAGAGATGACGAAACCCAGAAATCATTGACGTTGGGAGCTCTCGGGAGATAGGCACACTGTGAACTGGTCCAGTGTTTCTGGGAAATCATCTGGAATTCTAGGAGCTGAGTCACTAGACTCCTCATACTTGCTGACTGTGGGATGCCAGCACTGAGATCCCCGTAGGTCAACAACAGTCAAAAAGGCCCATCACTCACCAAAAGTCTCACAGCAACACTTTTTTGGTAGCAAAAAACTGGAAACAAAATGTGCGCCAACCGGCAGGAAACAGTTCAACAAACAGAAACTTACAGCACGAGAAATGGTGAATGTTGAAGAATTCATTGTGAACTGAGACATCACAAAATAAGCAGAAACCAGACAACAAACACAGCTACAACAAGATAATTAGCGAGGGAGTACAAAGTCCGAGGCTGAGTCGCCGTGCCCAGCTCTGCGCTCCATTCTGTTCCAGGGAGCGGCCCTTTCGGGGGGTGGGGGAAGGGGACACAGGTACACCCCGGTATCTACACTAGCCGACGCAGGCACAGAGCTGGCTTTGCTTAGCTGTTTGCATTCTTCGGGGGTGGGGTGGGGGGCTGTTTCCAGAAATAGCTGTGATAGAACAAATAGCATCAATAAAATTTAGCATTTAAAAATGTATTTAGGAGAAAGAAATTTTAAAAGCCCATCTGTAGTTAGAATGGGTCTAAAAAGGTTTGAGTCATTGAGACCTGGAGCTAATGAGTCTGACAGGCCCAACGCTTAAGAACAACTGAATCTTGGAAACGTACCCAATCTGTGCCTAGAGAAACGGGAGACCCAGAAAACACGCTCCGACCAGTCCGCGTGTGGACCGAGAGGGCGCCAGCTAAGGGCCTCTCTTCCCTCCTCGGAGCTCTGTGCATCCGTCTGCACAGGGAAGAGAGGCCACAGCCAGCCCGTGCCCACCGTGAGAGGCGGCTGAGCCCATCATCCCGTCACGCTGGGCACCGATCTATCTCCAGACACCAAAGCAAGCTGTGCTGGAAATTTAAAAAAACAAAACAAAACCAAAACAAAACCAAAAAAACCCTTTTCGGCATAGATTTACCAGGGCTGTTGGCCAGACAACCTTTTATTACATGGGGAAAGACACATACCAGGCACTAGAGACTGCAAAATGGGATTGGATCTTTCCTTATACCAATAAATATTCCTTCAAATCTTCAGAAAGTAGAAGCAGCACATCTGGATGCTTTTAAGTTTAAAAAAACAAGTTAAATACAAACTTTCATATGTAAAATAGATTATTCAGCAACAACCTCAGCCTTGTTAGGCTTCTTTCACAGATTTCAGCTCAGGAAAAAAAAATCCAAATAAGTACAAAACTTAACTTTAGTTTTATATAGAAAAAAGAAACTTTGAGAAAAATAGCTTTACCTCGGATAGTCTCTCTTGAAATAAACAATTCTTGCCACCTCCTATAACCTGGGGACTTTCCCCCAGTCAGCTGGAAGAAGACAGCAGTGGCAATCTTGGGTTCACAGTAATTACAAATCCAGTTACAGGAGCTAAGCCAAGTCTCTTCCTTTCCAGAAAAGGGAAACAAAGTCTCCCTAATAAAATCAAGCCAGTGTTCTGAAAGGGAGTGACTATGCAGGCAGGAGTTCTGGGATGGGATGGGATGGACAGTCAGATGAAGCAACTGCAATCACACTTGGCTCTAGTGGGGGTGACCCGCCTCTCTGCCTGCCGGCCCACAAGTCCCCAGGGTTCGGGCCAAGGCAGAGGCTGGAACCCAAGCACATCCATCCATCCGTCTGTCTGTCTGTCTGTCTACCTGTCTGCCTCTGTCGGTCTTCCCTCAGAGAGCTCCCTCCAGCTCCAAGGTAGCAGCCATTGTTGTAGAAGTTAAAACTTCCACCCCTCCCCTCTCCTAAGGTTTTTAGCCCAGGACCCAGCTAGAAGGAGTGGCTCAATGAATAGTCCTTTCAGAAATAAATATTCATAGAAGTAAATCTAGAGTTTCATTCGAAGGGGCAGGCACGGCCTCTGCCCAGTTCTTGAACACAAATTAACACACGCACACACACACTCTATATATAGATATATACACACACATAGACACATACACACAGAGTAAACCCTGCATTTCCTACATTCTTGAAGAAAAAAAATGTCCTTTAACCACACATGAAGTTAGTGTTTGTTTTCATAGGGACCGCCCAGCAGAGGATTCTGCGAGAGGGCACAGAGTTACAGGCGGGAGCTCAGTCTTCTGTGCCCCCAGGCCGAGGCTCCACATGCCTCCATGCAGGCCCTGCAGCTCAGTACCTGCAAAGCAGCAGAAGCGATGCTCATGAGGCATGAGGCCAATGGAACCATCGGGGAGCGTCCCGAGCAGCTGCAGGGAACAAGAGGGGGGCTCTCAGAGCAGCTGCTGATGAAGGATTTCCCACACCATCCTCTTCCGGAAGTGAGGCATCTGATTCTGCAAGGAATCACCCAAGACGTTACACAGGATCTCACGCAAGTGGGGAAAACCACTGTAACTTCACCGATAAGACACCTGGGTCCTCTCTGCCACTCTGGAAATCATTCTAAGAAAATTGCATTATCCAGTGCTAACCTCTTCCCTTCCACGAAATCCTACCTGTTACTCCTACATCAACTCCCCAGGCATGGAGAAGATGAAGCTTTTGGTTATCTGGAAAAGCTGGGGAGTGAGGTGTTCCTGCCAATCCAAAACGTGACTGGACTGAGAGTCACCACATCTAAAAATCCACAGTGCTGACTGGCAGAATGCCATTAAGCCCAACGTCAACTGGACCTGTTACAAGTGTGGGCATTGTATCCCAAGGTCCCCTTCACATACACAAAGTGCTTCAAGACTCCACTGAGCAGAGGAAAGAGGACTGGACTGAGTGTCAGAAGAGGGGAGCTTAAATGCCAGCTCTTGCCACCTGGAGGCTTCTGGGAAAGTCCTTTCTGTCTGGGCCTGAGAATCCCAGGACCTGAAGAGGTCAAAGAGAATGGAGACCACAGACAATAATCCTCTCTCTCTCTACCTCATACCTGACAAGCGGTTGTCCAGGAAGGGGGAGGCCACTACCGCCAAGGGCAACCCATTTCCCTTTTGCTCTGTGAGGAAGCTTATCTTTACTTCAAGGCCATAATTGCCTCTCTGCCTCAGTCTCCTAATCTGTAAAATGAGGGGGCTGAATGAAATGGTTTCTAAGGTCCCTCCCAGTTCTAAGTCCTAAGCAAATTAAAAGAGAAAGAAGAGTGAACTTCTGGCAGGATTCTGGGCTTGTTACCCAATTCTCAGAATTCTCAGGCCCAGCAGAAATTTTTCCCAGCCGTCATATGTGCTTACCCACATGCCTTTTCTCAGGTTAAGCATGAACAGCAATGATTTTTTTTTAATCCTCTCTTTAAAAAATACTACTTATCCTATGGGATAGCTCTTGGGGAGAGGGAAGGATACAGGGGATACTATGGTGATGTAAAAAACAGAAAACATTAATAAAAACTTATTTTTAAAAATGAACAACAGTAAGAAAGAAGTGCTCCCTTGCGTGTATCTGGGCTTTATGAATTCTTTCTGCTGGTGACCAAGCCCCAGAAAAACCTGAGAAGCGACAGATCCAGTGACCAATATCTATACTGATGAGGACATAGGACACAGAAGTGAATAGCAACCAAGTGGAGAAAGGCCAGAGACTTCACAAACCTGTGTAAAGGTGATGGGCTTGTCCTGAGAGAGATAATCTGCATATTTACAAGTAAACATTCCACAATCACTTCCATTCGTTTGCTGAGGAATCTCCTAAAAACAGAGAAAAAGGATAAAACAACATTATCCAAATAAAAAAGCACCTTTTCATTCAGCAGTGTGGATATGCAATATAATCAGGTAAGGATTACATCTGAGTAGTATTTATTAGAGACCCTTTTCAGAGGCTGAGGAATATTCCCCTCAATCTAGCTTTAGAACAGCACTAGAAAATAGGGATGGTAGTCAAGGATACATCAGCCACACTGACAGTCTGAATGAGGTCCAATGTGGTTTAAATAGAAACCCCCAAGTCACAATAGGATAACTCAAGAGTGGAGAGGTCTGAACCATCCTCCCCTAACCAGGGAAACAGGCTTCATTAAGAGCCAGATATAAAGGGGGACAAGAGATGATTCTTGCTAAGCTTTAACTAATTATGCTCAACTGGCTTCAACCTATCAGAAGGTGACATTGGAACTCAACAGTGTTCAAAGTATCATGATGCTAATGAATCAAAGGCCAGAGGTTCACTACCCAGGGAAGCCACTCAGCTGTGGCCAAACATACTCGCAAATTCCAACTCAGCTCTTCTGACTCCAAAGCTAGCATTCCTTCCCTCCCCCTACTTGCTCCCCATCTAAAGCCCCTTTCCAGTGTTCACCCTCTATGACTCCCTGAGAATATTATTCATTCTAATATGTCCTTCCCAGGCCCACTCTCCTAGGAAGAGCAGATAATCTCAAAGCTTCATTTTCCAATTTGCCAACTCAAAAGTGTAGGATCATTATATATAGGTTCTGTCTCATTCTATAGTCCTGACGTATCCCAAAGGGGCTGGGGTTTGGGCCTGTTATCACTCAGCAGAGGTACGACGTGGTCACTAGACATTGCATCATGGTCAAATCTGTTAAAGCAAGAGGTAGAACATGAAACATTACAGTTAACTCATGCTGAGCTGTGGGCATGGGGGCCAGGAAAAGGAACAAGGACATGCAATCCACATACAGTATGTCTGCACTCAGAAGATTCAGCCTCCTGCCTCAGGGAAACTTCTCATGCTCAAAAGGAGACAGCTGCTACTCAAATCAGCTGGTCATCTTTCCTTCAACTTACTGAAGAGGACCATAAGGAAGTTAAAATGGACCTCCAAAAGGAAATAAAGAAGCAAATGGGCTTGGTTAATTCTCCTATGAATAATCAAGAGCTGGCACAAGTAGAAAAGTATACTGTGTCAACAGAGTCCATTCACGTGACTAGAGAAGAAAGGAAGCAATGTCAAAGCACTTGTTCAACCCTTCCTATGCCCAAAGCACTCTGGGGAATCAAAGAGAAGAGACAATCCCAGTCAGGTGCTGCTCTTAATAACCAAGCCACCAACTCTTTGCATAGTACAAAGTACTTCCCTCACTGCAAGCCTATGGAAGCACTACTCTCCCCAGTTCACAGATAAGAAAACCAGGGGAGGCTGGAGAGCTCTGGCCACCCAAAGGGGCCTTTCCAGTGCACGGCCGGTCACTCACATAGGCCTTCACGCTTTCCAGAGTCCACTCTGAAGGATCCAGCTCTCTGTTTCTTTTGGTCTTGCTTTCCTCTTGTAGATATCGGCTGAAAACAAGGACAAAGAAACACTAATCAAACCCCACAGCACCTTGGGGTCCAATGATCTGAACAGGTCCACTTTCCCCAAACCAATTTTTCATCATAACTTTCAAAGGGAATTCTACATGGGACTGTGACACTAGAAAGAAGAAAAACTTCATCGAATACAAAATACCTTGAAGGGAAGGAGAAAACAAGACCTAGTGCACATGTTACTAAGGAATGGTTTTCCTGCCACTAATGAATTTGGTCCAATTCTCTAGAAGGAAAACCAAGCCAATACTGACTTATCTGTTGCCTCTCGGTCCTTGTCCTGCCCTAAAGCTAAGATGCTGGTGGATACTGAGGAGAGGAGGGGACTGAAGATGGCACCTATGGGCTAAATCCTCCTGTAGCATCTATCTGCCTTGCCAGCAGAGAACTGGAAACAAAGCAGCAGACATTTCCCTTTTAACAGGATCCTCAATATGAACACTACTAGCCTGCGTGTACTGATGCATGAAAACTACGTCGTGAGACACCCCTGTCGCCCCCCCTTGAAATTCACTGTCTGTTAGGCAGAGAGGAGGAGGGCATCCTTAACCATATCGTTTTTGATTCCTTCAAGCCCTGGGAAAAGGATAGGTCAGAGATGTTACCAGGTATGACTTGAAAGAATGGGAAACCAAAGATGCTGATAATTACAGTTTAAGGATCCCTTGGTCCTCAAGATACATTCCAACACAGATTAAAAGGGTCAAAACGCATGTCATTTCCTTGGGTCTCATGTCAATCTGAGTCAATTGTATTAAGTTCGACCAATATTGATTCATACCAAACGTATGACATACAAAACCACTGTGGCCAAAAGAGGGCTAAAAGAGGAGAAACAAAGTCAAAATAAAACACAGCTCTTCGTGGAGCTTACAGTCTGATAGAGGCATCTGACACACAAGCAGATGAACCAAAATACAAAACTATCCAATCCAACGAGGATTTATCAAGGCCCCACTAGGCATCAGGCACTTGGCTGGACGCTGACTTACAAAGACCCTTATATCCCGTGAACTTCACGAGAACTGTGCTCTATGAATTATTTTTATTCCCAACTTTAGAGATGAGGCTCAGAGGATTAAGTGGTTTGACTGCAGCCACAGGATCAGAAATGGGATTTGAACCCATGTCTTTCTACTTCCAAGTCTAGCACTCCACATTCGCTGCAGAGGTCACCCCAAGGAAACAGATTAAATCTTTTATTTTCTTCTTATATAACATACAGGAGCTATTCCAATCCCTTCATTTTACCCATCTGGAATCTGGGGTGTTAAATGACTTACAAGGTCACTCCAAGTGGGCTTTGAACTTGGGTCCCCTGGGCTCTGCCTATTCACTGCCAAAGGCAACCAGGAAGGGGCAGTATACTTGGGTGTAGGCCTGCGTTCTGCAGAGATGGCTATTCTCAGAGGAGGCACTCATCAGCAACGGATACTATCTCTATAAAGCTCAGGGCTCACATATAAACATGGCCTATCACAAAATACAACAGATACAAGGAATGGCAATAGTACAGGTCAAGACCACCACTCTAGAAGAGGAATATTCCAAAAACAAGTAAAATGTTTAAAATGCTCCTTGCTCTTCAAAGCGCCAGAACCAGCCGGGCCATGTGAGAGCCTTCGATCCAAAGCAGACTGGGAAACCAGCGCAGAAGTTAACTGACGCAAGTGCCAACACCTGTAATACAAACGTCACGCTCTGACAGTCGCAGTGATGGTTCTTAGTGAGCTCTTCGTAGGTTGTTATCTTCCTCACTCTGCACGCTGTCCCTACGAGAAGGACAGGTGGCATCGCCTCTCCAGAGGCACTCTCTCTCCCCACTTCTGAGGGAAAGCTCACCACCGACGGTCCTCACCAGGTGCCCTGGGCCTCCTGCAAGGGCCAGCAGGCATTCCTTCCTTCATTTTTGTCTCTTCCATTTCTCTCTTCATTGGCTCCTTCCTCACTGCTTACAAACAAGCTCAGGCTGATCCTTACCCCTGATCCTTTTAAGAAAAGCTCTCCTCCTTTTTGCTAGCAAACTTTTTTTAAAAATTAATTTATTTTGATTTATTAACAATCAGTTCCCCAAGATTTTAAGTTTCAAATTTTTCTCCCAGGGCACCGGCCCTGAAGTCAGGAGGACCTGAGTTCAAATCCGGCCTTGGACCAAACACCTGACACTTACTAGGCTGTGTGACCCTAGGCAAGTCACTTAACCCCAATTGCCTAAAAAAAAAAATTTCTCTACCTTCCTCCCCAAGATGGCACTCAATCTGATATAGGCTCTACATATACATTCCTATTAAATATATTTTCACATCAGTGATGTTGTAAGGAAGAATTAGAACCAATAGGAGGAAACACAAGAAAGAGAAAACAAAACACAACAGAAGAAAAAAAATAGCAAATAGTATACTTCCATCTGCATTCAGACTCCATAGTTCTTTCTCTGGGCATGGAGAGAGCATTTTCCATTATGAGACCTTTGGAGATGTCTTAGATCCTTGCATTGCTGAGAAGGGCTGAGTCTATCAACGTTAGTCATCACACAACATGGCTGTTACTGTGAACAACGTTCTCCTGGTTCTGCTCATTTCACTCAACATCAGTCCATACAAGTCTTTCCAGGTTTTTCTGAAGTCAGCCTGCTCATCATTTCTTATAGCACGATAGTATTCCATTACATTCATATACCACAACTTGCTCAGCCATTCCCCAACTGATGGGCATCCTCTCCATTTCCAATTCTTTGCCACCACAAAAAGAGCTGCTATCAATATTTTTGTACAGGTGGGTCTTTTCACATTTGTATGATCTCTTTGGGACACAGTCCTAGAAGTGCTATTGCTGGGTCAAAGGGCATGCACATTTATAGCCCTTTGGGCAGAGTTCCAAATTGCTCTCCAGAATGGTTGGATCATTTCACAACTCCACCAACAGTTGCTAGCAAACTTCTTAAATGAATAACTCGTAACTTACTCACTCAGCTGGAATTATCCATTACTGCCATTTGCTCAAACTGTCCTCTCCAAGGCCAACAGTTACCGAGGAAGTCAATGCAGAACAGTGGGAAGAGCAGTGGTTCCAAAGGCCAAGGAGCTGGATTCACATCACACTTTTGACACCTACTAGTGTCTCTCCACCTTCCTGGGTCTCAGCTACCTCCTATGTAAGCTCCTAAAGGGCAAGGTGTTTTTCAATACTTTGTAGTCACACTCAGAGCCTTTGCCCAATGCCTGGAGGAGAACACAAGTGCGATAAATGCCTGTAGATGGACCAAAATGGGACTACTGGGGGCTTTGTAGTCACACTCAGAGCCTTTGCCCAATGCCTGGAGGAGAACACAAGTGCGATAAATGCCTGTAGATGGACCAAAATGGGACTACTGGGGGCAGAGCACACTGTCTTGGCCAATGCCTGCCAGCTCTACAGCCAGGGATCCATGACCTATCTATCTCCCACTATCCAGACTGGACCACTGCTTTTATTTCAGGTTCCATCTTAGGCCCTAATAGTGGGCTGAACATGGCAGATGTTTCATAAATGTTCACTGAATATCACAAGCGAATGACATCAGGGACATACAAGGGTATTCATTCTAAGGTCTCCTCCAGGCCAAGATCCTGACCGTTGATCAACTCTCCTGGAAAAGGCATGTGTGAAGAGGAAGCTGGGGAAGAGGGATGTCTCATGCATATTTATCTACAAAATACAAAATCCATACAAAGCGATTTCTGGAGGGAAGGCCTAGCTCTAACATGAAGGGCAGTTCGTTAACAACAGAACAGTGGTTCCAGGGGGCACAATGCAGGGCTATACCAGACTGTGATGCCTCTGAAGTAGGGTATGTCCAACGTAGACCAGGAGAGCAGCCTGGTGCAGCTGTGAGGGGCCTGGTTAGCCACCCCACCAGTGATGGGGCCTGGGGTAAGCTGCATTTCTTTTCTGAGAATTGCTCCAGCTGGAAGCAGACAATCTCCAAGGTCCTTTCTCATTCTAACATTCTGCGATCCCATGTCCCCAAGTCCAGGGCCCCGAGACTCTACCTCACCAAGAGCAAGTTCCCTGGTTATTGACAAGGTTACTGATCTGGTCAATCAGAGCAGTGCTGCCAACTAGATGTGTCCAGATTTTTAGCCAGGCACATGACAGAGCATCTCAACAAAGTCTGAATTACTCCATTCACACATTTTCTCACTTGAGCCTCACCTATAATAGGCTTTGTGAAAGAAGGAGGTATTACAGGTATTATGGCCATTTTATAGATGAGGAAACTGAGGCTCAAGCTAAACCTGTAGACAAGCTGACCTGCACTGGAAGAATGCAGAACTCAACGTCTATGCATTTGGACCTAATAACAGATCAAGGTCACCTTGGGGTGAGGTCTCTAGTTCTTAGCCCTGTTCTGATATTTTTATAAAAAACCTTGTTCAAAATCCATAAACGTTATGCATCTCAAATGTGTGGCTAACACAAGACCAGGAGGGAGAGCCATTCCACTGGACAACAGACTTGAGATCCCAAAAGACAGAGACTGACATGATGGCCCAAACAGAGAGAAATGTGAAGTCTCCTCCTTAGGGGAAACAAAATCAACTGTCCTCGTACACACTGGAGGGTATGAATCCCAATGAGAGCTCATTTATAAAAGTAGCAGGGGTTTTAATTAACCACAAGCTTAACATGAGGCAGCCGAAAACCTCCACTGAATCTTGGGTTTTGTTAGGAAGAAGAGCGCCCAGCACGAGAGGTCTGGAGGGAGAGAGCCCCACATCCTGGGGGAGCACTTCGGTTTCCTTCTCTGAGGTGGGCTGACCTGGCTTGGCTCCCTAGTGGCTGTGCCAGGCAGAAGATGCCTGCCTGAGAGCGCTCAGCAGCTGTGAGGACCCCGTTTTAAAAGGGACACTGATAGGCTGATGCACATCAAGAAGCTGTTGAAGAGACTGGAAACCACAGCACAAAACCTGGGTTCAAGTCGTGCTTCTGATGATTACCACCTGAATGGCCTTGGGCAGGTCCCAAAATCAGGAGTTGGACTAGAGGCCTGCCAGGTCCCTTCCACATCCAGATCTAGGATCCTACAGTCGGGACGAGCTGGAAGAATGGCTTTTAGTCTAGCAGGAAGCGAGTAAAACGGACATCAGACATCTGAAGGACCGCGATGGAGAAAGGGGATTCGACTTGTTCCAGACAAGGTCAGGGCAGACCTGGGACTGAAGGGAAGCCAATTCTGGCTCCACCCAAAGAAGCCCTAAGAGTCCGAGCTGTCCAAGAATGGGAAAGGCTGCGTCCTGGTCATCTGACTGCTCAAGCCACCTGGCCCTGGCAGCCAAGACAGAAGAAAGATGGTACAGGCAGATGAACTCTCTCGGCTCTTTCCAATTTTCTGACGGCTCAAGGATCAGAACAGAGAGGGAGACAATGAGGTTTGCTCTGGTGACTCTTGTCTTTACTGGCCCAGATGTGGTGAGAGGGCATGACCCGGAGCCGAGATCCCAAGTATCTGGGAAAGGGACATCTCTCACTTGCGTGAGCTGATGCAAAGTGAAACATACTATGCTGTGAATGACGTGGCTATTCTCAGCAATATAACCATCCAAGACAACTAGGAAGGACTTATGATGAAAAACGCTCTCTGTAACCCCAGAGAAAGAACTGATGGTGTCTGAATACAGATCAAAGCACACTTTTTTTACTTTATTTTTCTTGAGCTTTTTTTATTTGTTTGTTTTTTGGCCTATGTTGTCTTTCACGACATGACTATTATGGAAATGTTTTGCATGACTACACATGTATAACCTACATCAAACTGCTTGCCTTCTCAATGAGGCGAGGTGAGGAGGGAGGAATGAAGAGAATTTGGAATCAAAGTTTTAAAAATGAATGTTAAAAATTGTTTTTACATGTAACTGGAGAAAAATGAAATACTAAATAAAATTTAAAAAAAACAACACCAAACATCTCTCCATCTAGACCTTAGGAAAACCAGAGCAGGAGCACAGCTGGGTACAAGCAGCGAGGTGTTTTCCAAGAATACTGTTCCTGATATGCTTATCAAGAGTTTAAGTCAGGGTGACCGTTCACAATTTATCCTATCTCAGAAATGGACATATTGTGCTGGCTGATCCCTGCAACTACCAGTGAGGACACCTGCTTACCTACTTCCTATTTTCAACTACAAAATTAATTCCCTAGAAGCAAAGTGGCTTCAACAAGACATGTCTTGTCTAAGGAAAAAAAGCTGACCTGAACAGCGCTCAGGACCTGAATGAAGCCTAAGTGATGCACAGCCATTTATCAGTAAGTTAAGGAAAGCACCAGCCTGACCACGGTCCTGGCCACACCTGCAGCAGGAGTTCCTCCACAGTCTGAACTCTGTACTTTCTAATTCAGAGACATTTAATTCTGATCAATTTTGATGATGGGTTAGGGTTGGCACACAACACAAGACAAACCACTATGTGGCAATGTTTCTGAGATTTAAGTGAGTAATTTTTCATCCAGGAGGCCTGAAGATGCCTGGATTGGTAAAGGGATCACTGTTATTTAGCAGGCATCCTCGCCCCTCTGGCCCAGAAGGCAGGCAGCCTGTTTTTACTTACAGCATCAGGTTACAGATTCGGTGGCCCTTTTGTCCCATGGAATCCAAGTACCTAATAGTCTTTTTCCTCACATCTATCACCTGGAATGGAAAAACACACACATCAAAAACCAGAAACCACCTGGTCCTACTTGTACCAGGAGTGGGAAACTTCACTCAGTTTGAAGGAGCAAAGAAAACTTCAAGCCCCTCAAGTATATTAACAATCCTCCCTCTTATTCAGCTGTAAGGATTACATTTTCTACTTGGCCAAAGCTACGGCCTTTAACAAAGCAGAACAAAATGAATTATGACACAGGAGGAAAGAGACAATGTGCGTCGCTGGCAGTGGTGGTGGTCACTGTTTAGTTTCTACAGAAAGCACCTCTTCTGCAGGTCGTGAGGTAGCCAGCACAGAGTTCTGGCCTCAAATGTTGTGGAATAGTTTTCTATCATGCACAATACATTAAGACCAAAGTGGTTAAGGGAACGCTTTCCAAATATTTTTTGAAATAAACTCAACTCACCACCAAGCTCCAGTGTACCCTGCGGTGAATGGGCACCAAAAGAAGCTCTTGTTCAAAGAGGTCCACCCCTTTGGTCCATCTTTTCACTGCTTGGTAACCACCGGTGCTCAGTTTGGGGAAGAAGAACGTGCTGAATGCATGCAGCATTGGCAGGCCTTGCTTTTTATTTCTCTCCACCAGAAGATTCATGTAAAAATTAATAATCTATAAAACACCAAAAAGGAAGGTCAGGAGAAGCTTAAACTGGAGAAATGCCTTTTCCCACCACAATGTGAAAGCCCAGGGCCGAGCCTGGCACATCACAGGTGCCCCATGACTGCCTTCAGCCTTGACTAAGGCCCACTCAGGGAGGAAGGTGTGTTGGGATGGGGATCCAAAAGGCAAGAGAACCAGGAATGGGAGTAAATGAAGGTCATGGGGAAGTGACAGCACAGAAGGGGACAGAGAGAAGGCAGGAGATAGAGAAAGGACACAGATCCGAATGTGAGAGAAAAGGGGAAAGAAGAGGGAAAATGTGACAGAAAAAGTGTTGGGAAAAGGACAAGAGGAGAAAAAAAATCATGATTTGTTCCTTGGCACTCTTTGAACCCATCTAGATTTTCTAGAATGGGATGAAGTCACATAAAAAGTGTGTTGGAGCAAGGTCAATTCAATTCATTAGAATAGCTACTGAGGCCCTACCTTCTTTATGCTAGGAATCGGGCACACAAAAGCCAAAGCCCCAAGGCCAAGCCCTAGTGTTGGGCAGATGGATTAGAAAGGAGAGAGAGGCAGGAGGCCGAGGCCGAGATGCTCACATGGACAGGGTAGATACAACAGACCCAAACAAATGTGAAGTGGAAGAGAAGAGTTAGCCTAGCTGTGGGAAGGTGTGGAGCAGCGGGAACAGCAAGACGGGACGCAGCACCTACTGGCACCGAACCAGAAAGAGAACAGGGTGAGGAGAGGATGTGATCCCGCCGAGCCCTGCCAGCAACAGCCAACGGCCAGTGAAGCTGCAGGAAATGACTCTGGAAAGGCAGGCTGGAGGCAGACCACGGAGGGAGTTAGAGGCCAGGCTGAGGATGTGATAAGGACCCCTGGTCAGCCGTGTTCCTCATTCAGCTCTGTGCTGGATAGCCTGGACAGGGCAAGGCTGGAGGCAAGAAGAACAACCAGGAGGTCACTGCAGTTTGGGCAAGAGGTGGTCAGGCCAGGACTAGGGTGGCTGTGTGAGTGGGGAAAAGGGAAAGGGTTTAAGATGCTGTGGAGGAGGAGGGGCCAGGAGTCCAGGATGACACTGATATCTGTGAATCTGTGTAACAGAAGGAATGCTGGTGCCCCCAACAGACACAGGCAAGTCTGAAAAGGGGCAGGGTCAGAGGGCCAGTAACGAACTATTCCAGATCTATGAAGTTTGAGATGCCTTTGAGACACACAGATAACCAGCATCACGATGCCAACAAAGTCCCTGGCACTCACAAGCGGCTGGACCTCAGAAATAGGTATCACTTCATCAATGGGATGACTTCAAAGAGGATGTGGCATCATCTGCTTTGCTGCTGCCCCCAAAGGACCAGGGGATCTTTCCATGGCTTCCAGCTAAACTTCCTCCATGGAGGATCTTCCCCATTAGAAGGGGGGATCCCAGGAGCAGGGACTGTTTTGCCTTCCTATTTTATCCCCAGAGCTTAACACACAGTCATTGTTTAGTAAATTCTTGCTTGAACACTCATTTCTGTAGGTCTAGGATTCAGCAGTGAGATTACAGCTACAGATGTAGGGATGAGCTGCACGTCTGCAAACTGAACCCCAAAGAGAAGCAGCACCAGGACACAGTCTGGCGCTCCTAAGTGGGAAGCCGCCTCACTCATACCGAGAGACAGAGGACAGTGACCCCCCAAAGGAGCCGGGAAGGGGGAAGCTCGATGCACTGCAGAAGCAACTGGCCCCAGGTAAGTCCATTCCCCATGACCTTGTCTACAAAGGAAGGGCTAGGACTGGAGGGGCCCCGGGGTCCCCTTCTCCATCCATGACCCCTGGAAACCTCAGCGAGGCTAGCAGTTTAGGCCAACTGGTCTGGTCGCTAGCCAGATGGAAAAGAGTAGGAGCCAAGAAGGAGACACAGTGGATGAGTGCACCTAGAAAAGGGCAAAGAAAGAAGATGAGCAGCCCGGAAGGGAGAGCAGAGGAACGACTGAACAGGAAGTCCGATGAAGGGGTCCAATCCCCAAAGGGCTTCATTCACTGCGCTCGCTGCCGCGCCAGCACCAGGTACCACTCCTGAATTTTCAGTCCCAAAGTGGCTCCTCCAAGCCTGGTAGCTGGGCACACATGCGGGGTATTGTATAAGTTTATATTTATTCAGATGGCTTGGGCTGGGCTTTTTTTTCTTAATAAAATTTAAAAAGCTGTATTTCAAAACGACTACAGCATTATGATGGTCCAAAGTATGGTGGTCGGGTTGGGGTGCAACCTGACCTCATCATTGAGCCAGTGACAATTCCTCAAGGTCTGTATGTCCCCACGAGTGATTCTTAATTTGAAAGCACTGCTTAGGACCTCATCTTGGGGGCCACAGCCGAGGGCACTATTAACCTCTTTTTCCATATCCTGAAATATAAAGTCCACAGTTTACAATGTTAATTTTAGAACCACACAACAATGAATTATCACTTAAATTAGGCAAAATCATTGTATTTAACTCTCAGGAACACAATTTTAATAAAATATATATTGACTATTGACCTAAGCAGAAACAAAACAAGATCTGGATTTTTTTTTCACCCAGGGTATTGTGCAGTATTATCACTGGATAAGAAAATATGTTCAAGTATTTGGCTTCTGGCTACAATCTACAATGAGTTAGTAGAGTACATGCATATGGTCTCTGTTCAACTACCCTCCCCAGGCAACTCAACTAATCTGGTGACAAGCCAATATGTTTTGTGTTTACTCATTCTCCACGTGAAGCCTTTAAGGAATAGAAAGTGACAAAGATTTGAGGTTTTCGGCCTACAATAAGGTATCAGAAAATTCCTTTTAAACCAATACTCTTAGTGATCTCCTAGTCTCTGACCCTAAGGAGAAAAAGATGGATGGCAACTGTTTAAGGTGAAACTTTGCTGTCCCCTCTGGGTAGGGAGAAAGTGAGCAGAACCTAAGTAGGATGAAGGAGAACTAAAAAGCTAGGCATCATCCCTGGTTTGGGGTGGCCTCACTGTTTTGACAGGACATCAATTCTTAGTTGACAGAAATGGAAGTTATCAAAATGCATTAGTAAGCCCAGGAGAAACAACTTTTTGATTTTCTCTGCTGGTACCTCCTCCCACTGCACAAATAACAAGGAGCTAAACATCGGGACTGAACACACAAAAGCTGATCCTTTCCCCCATCGATTTCTTTTCTTTTACATCTTCTATTATTACACCATGAAGCAGTTCCACCAGTACTGGCTGATGTCTACCCCAGGCCTAGCACTGGATTTGTGGCCATGAGGCTATGGTATCTTACCACAAAGCTACCTTAGGAAACCGGCAGGAGCCCTCAAGCACACATGTCCTCCCAGGCCAGAGGCGGAGGTGTGTGTATTTGTGTGTTGGCGGTGGCGAGTCCTGGTTCTCCCCCACCACCTCTCTGATCTGTGTGACCTGCAGTAAGTCTCCCTGCCTGTCCGAGCCTCATCTGTCACTGAGGGACCACACGGCCTGTGCGGCCTCTTCTAGCCATACAATTATAGGACCCCAAGTAACAGAGGAGCTCCGACAAAGGACAGATCAGCATGGGCTGGGCTAGCTGGGGAACCTTTTTGGAGTTAGTCCTTAAAGGATGGACAGGATTAGAAAAAGGAGGAGAGCAGGGATTTCAAACAGAGCCCACCACAAGAAAAGGCATTAAGGCAGCCCTCACACAAGCCTCCACAAGAGTGGAGAAGGAAAGCAGGCTCAGTGCTAGAGAGGGGACATGTTGGGGAACAGTGGGAAATCAGATCTGAGCAGGGAGGCTGGGCTGTGATGAAGAACCCTGAAGGCCAGGCTGAAAAGTCATGTTCAAAGGGACAGATATGATGAAAATGAGGCTTTAGGGGACAGTATTGTCTACAGGAGGGGACAAGGAGGCAGAAGCTAGAGGCACAAACCCAGCTGAGAGAAGAGATCTGGGCCTTCTAGAGGCTGTGGAAACAGAGAAGAATGAACCTGAGCGCTGTGTGCTGGATTAAGAACAGGGAGGCTGAAGAATGGTGACCAATGGTGCCACCACCTGGCATAGAGTTATGGCTATTTTGAGGGTGAAGGGATAGGGAGGAAATCCGAGGAGGTGTGTCCCCACCAGCATTTGAAAATCAAGGGCCTGTGACTTCTAGGCACAGAAGGCCTTCCTGACAAAGAATCTGCCTGAGGGAATTTTCTTAAGCCTGGATTTCCTATTGTTTTAGATGAATTATGCCCACTGTTTTAACTTCAACCTATTTTTAGAATTTTCATACATGAGACATGTTTATAAGCCACACTCATCTAAGAAGCCACAGAGCACTCAACCCTAACGCCAAAAAGATGCTAAGTACCCTCAGTGAAGCTCTGAAACCTGGGGCCCACTTTTCCTCCCACAGTTAACAGCTGTGGCCACACATTAGCTCTGATCACAGAAGCCACCCCCATGATCTCTCCTGATTCCTGTCCACTGGCCACGCCCAGTACCTCGGTGAGCTCGGGGGGCTCCTCAGGGCCCTTCTCCTTCTCTTTGCCCGTGCTGGGCTGTTCTTTCATCTCGAGCCCAGAGTGTCTCCGCTTAAACACAGCGGCAGCAGCAGCGGCAGCGGCAGTGGCGTTGGCATTGGCGTTGGCATTGCCCAAGCGAAGTCTGGCCGACACTTCCTCTGAGAGATCAGGCTCTGGCTGCCGCTCCTTTGGCTGTTCAAAGAAAATTGCTTGATAGTTTTACTATTTTCAATGCTAGACTTGCAGCTCTCACTCACATGAAACACGAGGGAGAGGAAGCCAAACCATTCATGGGCTCACCTATCACTATGTGGCTTGGAGGAAGGGGGCATCAGGCCCATACACCCGTGCCAACCACGCCAATGCCCACTTCTGCTAGGACCAAATCGGCTTGACGAGTCACGTACTAGACCCATTATTTTAAGTCAGGAATTTCACAAAGCTAAATCGATGCTGCTTTCCCCCTTAGAGAGCAGCCCCTGTGTGCACGAGGTACATCAGTGGTCAGCAGGCTGCCTTCCATCAGGCCTCCAGGTGTTTAGCTGCCACCTCCAACAGAGCCACCACAGCTGCCAGGAGTGATAATGGGCTGGCTGCTTCTGACCCAATTTTAAAGAACGGCTGACAGCCACAGGAGAGTACTGAGCTGTGGTCACACAGACTTGTCTTTTATCTGCACTGTGGAGTTTTACTTGCCGGATCATTAATAGCTAATGGCAGATGGACTTTACCAGGGATGTGGGCAGGGGTCCACTCTGGAGGGGTGTGTGGGGGGGTGGAGATTAATGATCAAAATTCCTCCTAGCAAGGTCTAGGGGGTTAAAGTTGAAATGACCAAACCAGAAGTGATCAGAAGAACTACCACTGACTGATTAGAGTCAAGATCCACTGACCCTATGGTAACCAAGACCTAGATTCTTAACAAACAAAAGCATTTGTCTAGCACTTAGCCTGTGCCAAGCACCAGTGGTAGAGGCAGAAAGGTCAGACTTAGCAACTTTTTCTCCCCATGGCCTAGTACGTAAGGTCATCTTGGCTCCTCCTTAACTTTGCAAAATATTTTGCTGAAATCATTAGTGTTTGCCGAGTCTCTTGAGCTTGTCTGACCACAAAGAATTCACTCTGATTCCTTAGGACATTGCTTACAAACCAAATATCCTGTTGAGAGAAGCCTCTGAATACGAACATCCTGAAACAGGTCAAAAACCTTAGCTCCCAAAGCAAAGTCCATGGTGGCCTTCTCTGAGGACATCCCACATCACCTCTGGGCGTGCACACAACTCACCTCCTTCCCCAAAAGTGAAACAGCCCGATTCAGTAACGCCTAAAAGCCCAGGGGGGTGGGCAGAGGAGATGCTCGCTCATGCCTGCTTCTCCACTGATTTCCAGGCAACCAAATCAGAAAGAAGAGGATCCCAAAGCAAGATGAAGAGGGTTTCTCTCTTCCATGATCAAAAGAACACAATGGGAACGATGGAATTATGGATGAAATAAAAGGTAAACCTTGGATTCAGAGAACCTATTTTGAAGCACTACAAAGCCACACAGCAATCCTCTGGGCTGGTTTTTTTTTTTTGGTTTTTGGTTTTTGGGTAGGAATCAAAAAGTTAACATTATTTAAATAAAATAACAAAAATACGTTAAAATAGAGCTCCATACTTACACTTTCATTTTCTGATTTTTGTTCAACTGTCTTTTCAGGTTCTGGAATTTTTGCCTTAGAATACCTGAAAACAGAAAGTATGAACTTTATTGATAAATACACCCTTACACAATTCTTAACCTTTTTAGAAGACTTCAGTCATGTAGGAGAGGAAGAATGAAAGGGATACTTTTCAAAACTATGGTTGGGGCCAGAATTCCTAACCAAACAAGAAGTAGAAGAGATTATAAAAACAAAATAGCAATAACAATGTGAAAAAAAAAAAAGACTAACAAATGAAAACTAAATGAACTTTTGAGGTTTCACCTGCAACCCAAGAAATTGGCAAAAATGGTTAAAGACAGAAGTAAGTCAATGCTGGAAGGACTGTGGTAAGATAGGTACATTAATACACTGCTGGGGAAACTGTTAATTGACCCATTGCTCTGGATGACAATCTGGGGAAAAATAGTTTTTTTTTAAAGAGAATAAATGTCCATACCCTTTAATCAAGCAATCCCACTCCTGGGCATATGCCCCATTTTACAGTTGAGGAGACTGAAGCAAACAGGGTGAAGTGACTCACCAAGGGTCACACAGCTAGTAAGTGTCTAGGACTAGATTTGAACCCAAGATCTCCGGACTCTTAAGTCCAGCGCTCTCTCCTCTGTTCAAGCAGAACGAGCAGAACGACACACACAATGGGGACCACAGGAGTGAAAACTCTCCAGAACGCAGCTGAACACAGAGAAGCGGCGACAACTCAACTCTGTTCTGGAGAATAAGCAGTGTTCTCCTCTGGGCACTGAGCAGGTCATTTTGTCGGCTCTTTTTGCTCTTTGTCACGAGTAACTGCAGGCTGGGAAGGGTCAAGCAGGGAGACTGTCAAATGAATTACGTGTGAGAAACCATTTTTTAAAAATGGGAGAAGCTCGGTACAGCAGAAAGAATGGGTATTTGGAGTCTGACATCTGGCAATGCCCCCCCAGACAAGCCGTGTAACCCCTCTGAGCCTGTTTCCTCTCCATGATAACGAGGGAATCGGGCTTGATGATCTCCAAGGTTCCTCCCAACTCTCAATCTACAAGCCCAGGTGCTCAGAATAGCTTGAATTTATATAATCTTGTTAATTCCCTGACTTCAAGGGTCTATGATATAGGGATGGGTTTCCCCTTCCGCAATATAGACAGTAGAACTGTGACAATTTGGCTGTGACCACAAACCCCATCGCCCTGCAGCCTCGCTCACGACAAGCCTCTCTAGACTAGGCCAGACTGGGTAGCAGATCGTGGGCAGACAGGTAGCTTTGGGGCCACAAGGGGAAGCCCTTCCAGATGAGAAGCACAACCTGCCAGAGCTTGCCTTGGGTTCCTTACCATAGAGAGGGAGATTTTCTCTTCAAAAAAAAGAGAAACAAACAAAAGTCCTCATGTCCTGCCTTACTTTTCCCAACACATTTAAAATTCTGAATATTAACATCAAGGAAAACGTAAAAGAGTGAGGCATTTGCTAGCAAAATGCCAAAGGAAGTCTGGCACAAGCCAAGTCTAACTAGAAGGAGGATCCCTGGGCATCAATAGTATGGTCCTCCCTAGGTTTCTGTTTGGGGCAACACAGTGCTGAGCACACTGTCCCAGACTACATCACCTCCTCAATGAGGCTCACAGTCATTCTAGAGATCAGTCACAATCCAACGGCAAAAAGACAGGGGGATAAAGGATGCCTGTTGTCCAGATTACGACATGCAAATGGAAAGAAAGTCCAACAGTACCAAGATCATAGACACACACTGCAGGCAGGGAATTAGCCAAAACCAGGAGAAAGATGGCAGCAAAGGTGCATTTGTTTGGAAAATTACATACCATTTTTAAAGATCCCAAGCTGTCCCTAATATAAAATCCATCACATAGAAATGACAATATCCTCCCAGTGATATCATATGGCAGCAAATGGTAAGTCACTTAACCCCAATGGCCTTTTAAAACAAAAAAAGTAGCATCTCAGAAAGATAAAGGACCGGCAAAGGACAGTGGCCAATCTCATAGGGAAAATGTGGGACAGAGAACCTAAGGCCTCCCCAAAATGAAGAACCAGGTGGCAGCCTTCAGAGCCTTCCTGTGGAAGGTTCCCACAAAGGGTTGCACACAGGAAGGCCCGGATGGAAAGTGGCCTACACTGGGGGGGGGGCAGCGGCCACTGTGAGGAGCTCACACATCCTCTGGAGTATCTATGTGAGAAATGGAAGGCAAAGAGCTTGCAGAGGCTGAAGAGAGAAGAGAACAGGGAAGGCTCCATCAAACAGCTGGTACTCAGGAGAATGGGCCCAATGCCACAAGAGAGGCACAAACAACCTGCTCGGGCAGTCTGGTGGGGGAGGCCTCATGGAGGAGCTGAGTCTGAAGAACAGCTGAGATGTGGCTCTGCAGACCTCCACTGCTGGATTCTGAGATACTGCTGCAATTCCAAACAAAGGAAAGAAGGGAAGAGCCCGGCATGGGGGTGGAGATGACCAAGGGCAGGGTAAGTTCAAGAAAACGACGTTCGCCAGTTCTTGTCAAAGTGTGACAGTGAAAGGATGAGCTCAGACCTTCTGCAGAGACGTCATGATGCCTCCAGAGAGATGCCCAAAGAGATCGTTTACTCTTCCACTGAGATTTCTAGAGAATGTCCCATTCTTAAATAGAAGCACTCCAAAAACAGTTCTTGAAAGCCCCCAGAAACCATCAGCTAGTTACCTCTTCTCATTCCTCATAACACGAACAGGTCCCCACGATTCAGTAACTCTGTCTGTAAGGAACAAAGGTGAGGCAAAGATTAAGCTTGATCAAAACCGAGATACGTCTATAACTGCGTGCGCACGTGCACGGTCTCTCCTTCCCCCTCCCTCCCTCCCTCTCTTTTCAGCTGAGAGGGCTGCTAAAGTATCAAGCCGCCAGTGCTCAGGAAAGGCCGAGACCAGCATTTCACATGGCGTCAGTCCATTCTCACAAAACAAGGGGCCTAATGAATAAAAGCCTTCATTTTCCACCCATGATCTTCACTGTGAACAGGTCCCATGTGTTCAGAGCTGCCATGTGGGGAAAGGCGGAGAATTTGAAAATTTCAAAAAACTACTGGAGGATGGTAACAAAGAGGCACCTTTCCCCCCTCAATCACCTCTTTCTAAACACCCTAATGTTTCAAAATGTTGTCCTTTGCCCTGCACAATACATAATCTTTCAAATTAAGACCGTATGAAATACGAAATGTGAACTCTTAGTATGAACTGAGGAGAAGATTGTAAAACCAGGCCACAGATGGGAACTCACATTGCTTTGGAACAAGCTGACCTGCTCTCATCTCCAGGTGTTGGTCTTCCCCCCAGCCACCATTCCTTACTGCTTCCACATGACTTCGTTGAGAACTTAGGAACAGCAAAATTTCAGAAGATCAGAAACAAAAGAAAGGGCCACAACACTCATTCATTTTCTGCTCGGCAAGTTTCTCTAAACAGGTATTACAAGATGCCCCGGGCACACATATGGGAGCAGAGGAAGCCACACAGCCCAGGCTAACGTTCAGAGCAAGCCAGGGCAAAGGAAGGACTAATTTCAAGCCCAGTTTTGACACTGAGTGACTGTGGGCAAATCAATCTCTTGGTCTTATTGTAACTATAAAACCTGGATAATACTGGTAACACAAAAATGTCATGGAAAGAAAACACTGAAAAATAACTATCATTTAAAAAGGCCTTGGGGCATTTAGGTGGCACAGTGGATAGAGCACTGGCCCTGGAGTCAGGAGGATCCGAATTCAAATCTGCCCTCAGACACTTGACACTTACTAGCTGTATGACCCTGGGCAAGTCACTTAACCCCAACTGCCTTGCAAAAACAAAAAAAACCTTTTTTTTATTTTTTAAAAAAAGGTCTTTAAAGAGTCACAACCTAAAAATGCAACAGAATTCAGTGAGTTAGAAGAACATTTCAGAGCTTTACTACTAAAAACTAACTACAGCATACTTCTAAATATCTTAAGTTTTTTTTATAGAGAGACGTATGGAGAGACGTATGGTTGGTGCTAGGACCAAAGGCATTCTCGTTAAATCGGCTTTCTGAGCCTAACAAACTCCATAACTCATTAAGTTCATTCTTCTTTTCTTGACAGAAACTAGACCAGGTTGTGAATTTTCATCAAAATATCTATGTAACTCTCCAACTTTCTGGCTAGACTACTGAATGTTCTAGAAGAATCAAAATGAAACTTAAGAAAATAACTCCACTGACTACACAGGTCACAAGTATGATTCCCATAAGAAAAGTTTGTTTTACCAAAATTTCAAATGAAAGTGGCTACTTCTGCACATCCGTTTCTCACACACACAGGAGCTTCAGAGTCAAATGCAGAGTCGACTGCACCTAAGACCTGAACCTGAGTTAGAATTCCACTGCTCTACACACTCTCTGACCTGCAACACCAGGCCCCACAAACCCTGCGCTGCTTTTCTGCATGAGCTAACCCTCTGGGTCCCAGCTGTCTCCCCCCCACTTCTTAAACAAAGGTTAGGAGGCTTATGAACTTTTTCTTTCTCTTGCTGGCTGAGAGAAAAGGTCAAGAGAAGGGTTGTTTCCTGCCATCACTAGGACAGACAAGGTGCCCTTTCTTTTTCCCTGGCTCACTCCATGGGGGGAAGCTGCAAATTTCTGGGATAGAATCTTGGGGAAACATTCTCATCCTTCCCAATTCTAGAACTCAAAACAGAAATGACCCTGCAGAGAAGGGAAAGCAAACAGAAGGGGACACCTAAGCTTCAATTTAAATGTGTGGCTGCCTGGTGGTACCTTGTTTTCTGGAGAGCTCATTTCCTCCTACTGGCTGAAAAGTGTCATTTCCACACTTATCAACCTCTCATGGGAACCATCATCAGACCAGGCAGGAATGAATGTCTCCCTTAATAATGTTCTACACCTGCCATGGCTCTTCTTACTCCTCACTCAATAGCCAAAGGGGTCACCTCCTATCAAGATTAGCTCAACCAGTGGTTTTAAAAGCTTCTATGTCCCTGCTCCTACCCCGCAACAATCTGGGCCCACCCCCTCCCATGCCCAGTTCAGTCTGACTTTCCCCTGGATCCCTGGAGTCTCTCTGTTCTATCATTAATGAGGCTTCCTCTCCTCTAGTGCTCCCTCTTCTAGCACCCGCCCCTCCCAATGCATGTCTTCCTGGCTGTGCCTTCCCTCATCCTTCCTTACCCTAATACACTCCCTCCTAGAGGAGGAGTCAGATTCCTGCCCAGTGCTACTTCCAGCAAACTACTCCTTTGGAGGCCATCCTTACCTAGCCAGGTTCTTTACCCAAAACAGATCCTGGTGAGTCACCTACCAGCCTCAAGATGATCCTTTCTCCCCTTTTCTGTACCAGGCTCACAGTCTTCCTCTCCAATGCTGACATGCCTCTCATCCCTTCCCCACCAGGACTCTTTCAGACTAATATCCCCCTTGCTCAGGCTTTACTCTCCTTCCTTCCTCTCCTCCTCTCTCTCCCTTCTGTCCTCTTCTCCCACATCCCTCACCACTTGTCCTACCATCTTTGTGCCTTGCCAAACTCCACCATCTGCCTATTCTATTCCCATTCATGCGCTGCTAAACAGAACTGGAAGAAGTCATGCAGCCATATTGACTGGGTTCACCATAAATGTATACCTTACAATCTCTACTTGGCCCTCATTGCAGCAAGACAGTCCTTTTAATCCTCCTAAATGGATTCTTTATACCACTCCCCACAACAGCTGGTCCAAATCTTCTGTTTCTCAATCCCACCTCCCCCAATCAAACATGGTCCCATACTTTATTGAGAAAAGAGGCCATTCACCATGAGCTCCTCCTTCTCTACTTACTCAGTGTCTCACAACCTACTGACCTCATCCCCCATTCTTTCCTCTTTCTCTCTGATGGCAACCCTTCTATTTATACCCTTGATCCAATTCCTTGTGTCACCCAGCACGTTGCCCTCTCCCCAACCCCAGCCCCTTTTCCCCCTCCTCTTATCTTTAATCTTTACTCCCACTCTACTTGCTTAGCCCAGGTCTCCCCCATTCTTAAGAAATTTTCACTTGCCCTTACCATCTCCTCATGCTATCCTCATGCTATCACAACTCAAGCTCCAAGAACTAATGGCTACCTATTCCTTCCATCTTATCATTCAGTTTGCAAACTCTCGTAATCTGACTTCCAAATGCATCACTTAATTGAAACTGCTTCCTCCCAACTTATTAATTCTCTCTCTTTAATTGCCAAACCTGATGGTCTTTTCCTAATCCTCATCTTTTCTGACCTCTCTGACTCCAATGGCCACTCTCTCTTCCTAGATCATCTTTGGGGTTTTCAGACACTCTCATCTCTTGGTTCTCCTCCTGTCTATCTGACCTCCACTTCTCAGTCTCCTCTGCAGAACTGTCTGCCACATCCTGCCATCTAGCTGCTGGGGTAACGCCCAGGCGCTGGCCAGGCCTTCTCTTCTTTTCTCTCTCTCCTCTCAATGACATCACCACCTCCCATTGGTTTCATGATCATCTACACAGATTTCTCCACAATCTCTATAAAGCCAGTTACAACTCATCGCCAATTGCCTACTGGACACTTGGACCCAGATGTTCAAATCAGACCTCCTGATTGTTTCTCCCCTCCCTCTTTCTCATAATGGCTCCGTCAGCCTTCCAACCACACAAGTGGACATCCTTTGCTCGCCCTCAGCCCACCCAGTAAGCTGCCCTCCGTCTATTCCACCTCTGTATTCAGATGGCCAAGGTGCTAATCAGATCCTCACCACCTCTCTCCTGGACCAGCAACTGTCCCTTCACTGGCTTCCCCACCTAATTCATTCTCTCTTCAGCTTACAAAACGACAGTCCTCAGCACAAGGTGACCATGGCTAACCTTTGCTCAGTCCATTTCAGTGCCAATCCCAGTTCCTCTGCTTGGTATTGAAAGCCCTTCACATACTAGTTCCAATCCATCTCTCCATCCACCTTACACATCCCCCCCCCCACCAACACCACTCTACATCCCATCTGACACAGAACATCCCTTCTTCCCTCCCTGTGCTGTTGCAAAGATTGTCCTGCCCTCCCTCCTAAGCTCTGCCTCGAGATCCCAGCTTACTCCAGAGCTCAGAAATGCCTATTAAATGACCCCAAAGGGAAGGAAAAATAAGCAAAAGAAGACAGAGGGAAAGGCTAGAATTTGGGAAACTGCTAGATTTCTCTGGACATGCCAATAAGTTTCACATTCCCCACTTACAGAAATTAAATAATTTTACCAAAATCCCAAAAAAGTTTTGAAATTTAACAAATTCTAAAAATCCCATAACTGTTATTCATTACCTTGGCACATTCTACTGTAGCCAAGCTACAATCAGAAACTGTTTTCAGACTTTATTAATGGCGCTGATAAAGTGAGCACCAGCTCATGTTTCTAAAGTACTTTGCATATATTAGTCCATCTGATTCACAGCACAACCCTGTGAGATGGGCACTAATGCTATTATTATCTGCATTTTGTAGCTAAGGAAACTTTAGGCTCAGAAAGGGTAAGGGATTTATTTGCCCATGGTCACACAGCTTGGTGACTATCGGAGGCAGGACTGAAATTCAGGTCTTCTGACTCCAGATCCAACACTCAGAACATCAGAAAATGAGAGAGTCCAGGTGGGAGCAAAGAATCCTGGCAACAGAGCGGAATCGAAAAGCTGAGTCTTGAGAGGTGAGGCCCCAGGAGCCCTGTGAGCACCTAGACGTGGAGGTCAGATCTGTCTTCTGAGGTAGCCACGGGGGCATTCCCCTGCCCAGCCCTTGCTGGCTGTCACTCTCGTACAAGACAAACCATAAGCAAGCACCAACACCACGAGCCCCCACAACCCACCAGGCTGTCATTACCCGTGACGGTTTCCAGCGATAGCAGGGAGGCAGTTTCCATGGCAACCTTCTTTAATTCGCTGCAACAGCCTTTGATACTTCTCTCTCTCCTCTCTCTGAAAACCCTGGGGAAAGGAAAGAAACACTGACAAAAGCCAACAGCAAAACGACTGGCCCACATGCAGAGAGTCAATCCATGGTGAGGACCCGGCTTCTACCCCCCCCCCCGGCAGCAGCTCCCTGAGCCGTTCTGGGCCCTGGACAGCCATTATCCCCGGGGCACTGTCCGAGGGAGCTTTAAAAGGTGCTCACTTAGCACCACGTGAGGCCTAATGCCCACTGTCCTGGGGCTGGAGACGCAGTCCCTGACCTTATGGATTCCCGCATAAAAGCAGGGACCGTTTGATCCTGCATCCTCTCATTGTGGGGCCTGGCACACAACAGGGGCTTAATAAATGCTTGCTGACGGATGTGAAGTTTGCCTAACAGGAAGATGACAAGCGTCAATGAACTAAAACCAGACAAGATGAGGTGCAGTGCTCTGGAGAGCTGCCGAGTGGGAACGGCAGCAAGGTGACATCTAACTGCACTTTAAAGATGACCCGTAATTCAGGAGATGAAGGGACAGGAAGGACATTTCCAACTCGGATAACAGTAGGAACAGAGAAAGGCAGAGACAAGTGTAGTCTGGCCACAGCCTAGAGGTGCATGGAGGGAAGGGGAAGAGAAGAACCAAGATAGTCAGATCCACAGCCAAGGAAGAGTCATCGACAAGCCACGGGAAGGAGGGGTTAGAGTGCACAGAGGACGGAGAAGGCGACCTGCTCGGGGGGCACTGGGCCAGCCAAGGCAGGCACTAGTATGTCTGAACCTGGGGATGGGGGCAGCAATGGGAAGAAAGGAGAGGGGACAGTTCAAAGAGATACAGCAGAGACGGAACTGCCAAGATTTGGGAATAAAAAGAATGTAAAAGATGAGGGAGAGATGGTACTGACACACTGAACACAAGAAGTGAATTGTGAGAAGAAGCAGGTTTTAGAGAGACATGATGAACTGCATTCAGGAGAAGCCGAGTACGGTTAGTTGCTGGCCTTAAGCTGTGGAAAAGGACCCACGTGACATCACTGCGTTAGCGTCAAGTTACAGTGCGTCAGCTGTGGCTGATGAGACCAATGCGCGCTCAGAACGCTCTACCACAGGCCAGCACAAAGGGTCCATGTGAACCTGTGCGCTGGATTCTCTAAATCTGGGCATTTCGCATTTCTTTTGAGCTACCGAAATTCTGCTTTGCTCTGATGTGGGCACGTCACGCTGGGCGGTCCTATGCCAGTGTCTCCCACGTCACACGATTAATTCCAAAGTTCTTCAGAGAGAACTTGAGTGTCCTTGTATCACTTCTTTCGACCTCCGTGTGAGCGCCTGCCTTCTGTGAGCTCTCCACACGACAGCTACTTTGTTGTTGTTGTTTTTTGCAAACATACATTTGGCATTTGAACAACATGGCCAGCCCCTCAAAGTTCTGCTCTCTGCAGGAGCATCTGAATGCTTGGCAGTTTGCCTTGAGAAAGGACCTCAGTGTCTGGTACCTTATCCTGCCAGGTGATCTTCAGAATCTTCCTAATTCAAATGGAAGCGATTCAGTTTCCTGCCCAGGTTTCACAGTCATACAACAATGAGGTCAGCGCAACAGCTCTGTAGACCTTCAGTTTGATAGGCAGTCTAATACCTCTTCTCTCTCACACTTTCCTTCAGAGCCTCCCAAACACTGAGCCAGCTCTGGCAATGCCTGTGTCAACCTCATCAATGTGTACATCCCCAGAAAGTATACTGCCAATGTAAGTGACCTTATCCGCAGTATTCCAAACTACTCCATTTGCTGTAACTGACGGTTCCGTGTCATGTATGGTGTGCTGCTGGCTGCTGGGGCACCTGTGTCTCCTTGGTGGGAACTGGCAGGCCACAATTAGCACAAACAGCAGAGAATCAATCCTCACTGAAGGCATCTGGCAACATTGCTGAGCCCATCATGTGAAAAGGCATGGAAGCAAGCACACAGCCTTTGGCTTCACTTCACTGGCGACTAGAAAAGTGCACAAGTATTGACCATTATCCAGACCCCAGGCAAGGATGCCATCGTGAAACTGACGTACAACACCGAACTTCTCCGGGCGTCCTATTTTGACAGAAATTTTCATAAGCCCTCGTGACTGACAGTATCAAAGGCCTTAGTCAGATCTATAAATGTTGTATACAGACCTCTGTTCTACTCCTGCCATTTTTCCTGGAGTTATCAAGCAGCAAATACCACATCAACCATTCTTTGGCTTTCTGAAGCCACTCTGGCTCTCAGGTAGATGGCCATCTTTCAGGTAAAGGATCAGCTATTAAGGAGGACTCTGGCAAGAATCTCACCAGCAGTAACTAAGAGAGACTTTCTCCCTGTGATTGTCACAAGACAATCTATGTCCTTTACCTTTATAGAAATGGACAATGAAGACATCCTCGAACTCCTGAGGGATAACCTTCTCTTGCCATACAACCCAGAAAATTTCGGTCAGTTTTTGTAGGGGCAATGGACCACCACCCCTCCTCCCTACCCCACCCCTACCCTGTAAATCTCAGCTGGAACAGAATCAACACCAGGTGCTGAGGGAAAGACTATGTTGAAGGTCATTCCCATCCAGGTGGCTAGAGCCCAGAGGCAGCAGTCTGATCTGGAGAGTCACCACCATAAGGTACTAGGTGCTGCCCATGACAAGAAATGAGGTTGCTGAGGGACAGCAGGTCAGGGGCAAAACCTCAGGGAACACTCACCATGGAGGGTGGGAAAGGGATGAGAACCCAGTAAAAAAGAAGAAACTGGAAAGGGGAGAAAACAAGGTGTGTGCGTGATCTCTCAAAAATCAGGGGAGAAGGGTATCCAGAAAGAGGGGATGGTCAAGAGTCTCAAATGCTACAGAGGACAGGAAAGGTTGGGACCTAAAAAAGTACCAGTTAATTTAGCAATTAGGGACCTAACAGTGTCCTTGGAAAGCCAAAGCCAAGCAGAGTGATGGTGCGGGAAGCCACAGTCAAGCGTGGTGAGGTGAAGGCAGGAAGACAGGAAAGAAGAGAGGACAGACGGTGAGCACCAACCATTTTCATGAACAGAAGAAAGGAACTTAGAAAGTTCCTATTTCAATTTTCTCAGGAAAGGGGGAGGTTAAGTCACCTCTCATAAGTGCTGGGGGACAGTCATATTAGGGATTTCACAAACAAATCAGAAGAACTTTTGAGCAGCCCCAAGATTCCACTGCTAAGCCTGTGTCCCAAGGAGGTCAATGACAAAAAAGGTCCAACATTCCAGAGATATCCATTGATTGGGAAACGGCTGAGTTGTGGTACATGACTGTAATGGGGACCATTATGCTGTGAGAAATGATGAGTGCAGAGAATCATGGGAAGACGTGTGTGAGCTGATGCAAAATGGCATGAACCCACACAAACAACAGAAACAGAACTACCACCATTACATGGCAAGAGTAGCAGCAGCGACTAAACAGAAAGCTCCCAAACAAGGACCAAGCCCTGCCCCCACCCCACCAAGCACAGACACGGCTGCATGTAACACCCAATTTCTTTCAACAGGCCCATCGGCTTTATTCCAGTTCCTTTTCCTTCCCCTCTGAAGAACGGTCTGCTTCCAAGCAGCAAGGCTGGCACACGCTGTATGTTTACGGGGATGAGGTCAGGACCCTGGGAGAGGGCCTCCTCTCAGGTGGCACAAGCTGCCAGAGTTGAGGATCTGCTGCGGGGCCCAGGGGCTTACAGGGGCTGGCAAAGTCAAGGCTTGACCGGAGAGGCAAGCTAGGCCAGAAGCGGGCCGTGGACCAGAAGCCCAAGAAAGGCCCAAGGGACAGGAAGATCAAAAAGCAGGAATGAAGGAAGTGAAGATGGGAATGGGCAAGAGGCAGACGGGTCTGGGAAATGGTGTGCCCACAGTGCAGTACTTGAGGCGGGGCTGGGACTGGAGCCACTGTGCAGTCCAAGAGTCAGAAGGGTCCCCGACATTCATCCTGCACCCCCTAAAGATGACGGCGGGACAGCAGGGAGGGGAAGCATACAAATATGGCACTGCTGCCCCTGAGAAAACAGGGCAAGTGAACAAGAGGTCAGGAGAGGAGAGCAGTCACAATGGGGAGAGGACAACACAAAGGTGCATGCTGTCCCAAGAGGGCCTGGGTTCGAATCCCAGCTCTGCTTCTTCCTGCTTGTATGTGCTACAGCAATTCATTTACCCTCTCTGGGCCTCGCCTGTAAGATGAGAGGATTGAACTGGATGACTTCTAAGGGCTTTCCCCAGCTCTAAAATCTTTCCAAAGAAGAAAGGCCAGTGGAGGCACGAGGAGGGCCATAGCGCAGAGCAAGGGCAAGGCTGGCCCTGCAGGGAGTGTGTGTGCAGGGAGGGCATGAATCGCTTTCCTCAGTGGAAAGGAAACTCGGCGTCCAAAGGTCAGAGGGAAGTGAAGGAGCTTCCCCTCCGCCCTCTGATGTGGGCTGCACACAAAGCACCCCCACCAAACGCCAACACGAGCAATCAGAAGAGTCGAGGCGTCCAGGAAGGCAGGCACAGTTTACCTTCCAGCCGATGGCGTCCTTGCTGCTCCGACACTAGCAAAGAGAGACCCACAATGATCCCTGGGACTTGCCTCTTCCACAGCACAGCGTGCTCTCCTCAGAGCCCTGCCAGTTTCTGCAGGGGGTCCCTCCGAAAGGTTCCGGTCCTGAACAGGCTGTTTCCAGGCTACAGAACTGTCTGGGGGAGACTTGGCATAGTGACGGCCACTCATTCTTTTGTTATAAACTTCCTGGTTACGAGGAAAACTATTGGATAGAACAGAAATGGTCAACAAGACTGAAACACCTGCTGTCTCTGCATGAAAGCTCCAAGACCTGCAGGCCCCATTGACAGACCAGGTAGAGGCAGTCCTGCGGTATGAATGCCCCAAATACACACTAGCCCTTTGCACAATCATCACAACATGACGCTTTGCAGATCTTCACAAGCAGAGGTCCAGATCACAGGGAGAGCGTGGCAGAGCTGGGGCTGCAACCTAGGCCTTCCTAGTTTTCCAAGTCCTGCCACAGAGCCACTGAACGTCTCCCCCACCCCCAGCAGCAATCTTCCCCAAAGCCACAGCCTCCGCCCATCCTGACCACTGGAACTATGCACCCCCCCTGCCTTCCAGGGGGCTGACTGGTTGCGAGAACCCGTGTGCAGTATTTTCTCACCCATTCCGCTGAACCCAGAGCTTGGGGGAATCTGGAATCGTTAAGGCTCGGATGTGTTCACAAAAGTATACCACTACAAGTATTTTCACCAAAACACAGATATTTCAGGGGACAGTTTGGGACCAGAGACTTCCTTTAAAACAACACTCAGAATACATCTTTTTAAGAAAGTTAACTTAAGGATTCAGCCTGATCCTCAGTCAGAGACCAAGTACCGTGGCTAGCGAGGAGCCAGGTAGCTGCCCCTCTTTCCTGGAAGCGCTGTCTGTCTCTGAGGGCCTTCCTGAGACTCTCCAGGGCTGGCGGGGCGAGGTAACAGGGCCACACAGGGAGGTCCCCTTCTCATCCCATACACTTGTTTTTTACCTGCCTGCTGAGACTACAAGACAAGGAAAGATCTTTCTGTCTACTGTCCTTTGAAAGACTTTCTCAGATGCTTTAAGCATCCTGAACAACCAGAAAACAGAAACAAGAAAATGAAAGCGTTTTAAGAGGTCTTCATAATGTGCTGTGATTAAGCTGGTGAATTTCTATGCACAGAAAAGCACAATTATCAGAAGGCAACGATTACCTGAAGGAAGGCATAACGTGGCCGTGGCGTGGGTGATCTCGCCTCACTTTATTGGAATGTTTACTTGCTCCATTACGTGTTTTTTTACCTACAAACAAAATCGTATTAGTAAGTGGGGGGGGGAACTGGAGTTGGAGTAGTTTGCATTTGAAAAGCAGAACTAAGTCTTTTGGCTTTCTCAAGTAAAATATTTAGTCTAGCAACTTTTCTTCCCCTCTCCAAAGATGAAAACATGACAGGCCCTATCTCAAACTCAAAACAAGTAGAAAGCCTCAAGATCACTGAGAGGCGAGGGCAGCTAGCTATTCTCTGACCTGACACATCCAATAAGCTTTTGGGAAATGTACGAATGAACAAAACCAAAGGGGACCCTCATGAGCTCTCCCATGGAAACCTCAGCTTCTCTTCTCCCGTAGCAGAGAGCATCCAAAATGGGATTCGGAACACTTAACACCCTGGAGGCAGCCTGTCAGAGAAGGGCTTGGAACGCTAAGCCATTCTAAGAGAATCATTCTAATTGTCATCAGAATTGGCCGATTAGACAAGAAATACAGCTCCAAATGACCAGCACAGGGCTAGTCCAATGTCCTGAACCATGTCCAGCGCCACCTTCTCTGTCCCAGGCATCATCGAAGGCCTAGAGGAGTGGGCCAGGACCTAGCTACAGGACAGACAATCCTGAGTCCAAAGCTCCTTCCAAAGTCTAGGCCTTCTCTACCCTGCATCTCACCTCCCCCCAAATTATCCCATCTCCTGGAGAGGAAGACAGACTACAGCCATCGGTCTTCAATGTCCCTGGCCCCCGGATGATATGGAAAGAATAAAGGCTGCAGTCCCCATACTTAACCCTGAGATAAAGTGGCCACAAGCAAAGTCAGAGTGACAGGCAGGCAGCTCCACTCAACAGAAACCCGAATTAAAGGGAAAAGACATTCCCGAGGTTTATAGCAATGGTTTTACTCCTCCTCTTCCCCATTACAACTCCAACCTGGTTAGAATGGTTCCCTTTCACATACTGAAAATTAGAAAAAGAAAAAAGAACCATCTCTCACCTGATGCAAGCACATCTCTCCAGGGTCCAGATTTTGTCAATTTATTAGATGAATCTTTGGGAAATACCTTAAAAACAAAAAAGAAATGTAATTGGAAAAAATAAAATACTATTTATTAAGTAGGGGGGAAAAAACGACCAAAAAAAAAAATAACCATTACAGTTAGAGAATTCATCTTTAAAAAAATAAACTTCCTATCAAAATCATCCTAGTGCATAAAATTCAACTGTCTTCAAGAAGATCCAAATTTTAATGTTTAAAACCTCTAAAAATAATGCAAAACAGAAATCACAGATGCTGAATATACATTAGCTTCTCCCATTAAAATATTAGTAATTATCCCACTTACACAGCTCTTTAATTTTGAAAATAATTTTTCTGTCTTTTGTAATTTTGAAGACAAGGCCAATTGCCAGAGACCAACAACCTTGGTCTGGCTTTCATTCCCACTGACCTCTCTGGGAGAGCTCCCAGTGTGCGCGCCATTGCAGCCACCAGCCTCCGGGCACCTCGGGTCGAGGTGGTCCGGAGAGCCAAATAAGTTGGTGATGTCCCAGATGCTCTTCTTGACTCGGTGAATCAAGCAATCTACAAATCCAGGGAGCACAAAACAAAAATGTCACAAGAAAAGGATTTCTTCTTTCAGAAGGGGCCTCTACAGCACACGGAGATGTACTTACACAAGCTAGAAAGACAAAGGCTCCAGCGTCTAAGGGCCTAGGCTCAAAACAGGCCTCAGATACTCACTACCTGGGCAGCCTGGGGCAGGCGGCTCCCCACAATGGGCCTCCATTTCCTTCTCTATAAATGGCTGGGGGTGGGGATGGGGGCTGGCCTCAGTAGCCTCTGAGGGCCCTTCCAGCTCTTGGTCCAGGACCTGCGATCCAAACCCTAACTTACAGAACACACAGCATCTCCCAGGGCCTGCCACATTTTAGACAGGCCTTCACAGATCTGCCGAATGAAGAGAGTTAGGAAAGAAACTAGCAAAGGTTCTTTTCTAGACACTTCTTCAAGTGAAAACAGCCAGGTTTCCTGTTTTCTTCATCAAACAGCAGCAGCTCTGGAAAACCAAACAGTGCTGTAAAAACAACCAATCCTCTTCCCTCCCTAACCTTTCAACCCAGGCAGGCTCTCGCCAGAGACACGAGGCCTCAAGGTGCCAGGGAGAGCCAGCTGTAGGCACTACCTCAGCCTTTCCTTCCAACTGTGCTTCGACACAGCATCACATCAAAGGTCACTGGCCTCACTGAAGAGATTCTGTGCGCTCAGTTAGCCCTTCTTGGGTCCGGTGGGGCATGCAAGGAGCGAGCAAGAAGCCCCTGGGACACCACAGCCCCACCCCATCTTCCTGATGGATCCTGGACTGCCTCTGAGCTACCATCCTCCACGGGTACTAAGTGGGAAAATCCCTGGGCCTTTGCTCACTCCTTCTCCTCCTCTAACATCACCCTACCTGCCCGTCTACTACCATCAACACATGCTGAAAACGACTCATTTGCCCACTTATACCTTACAGAGTTGTACAGACAGTTTTATATCTCAGTTTCACAGCATCAAAAAAATCTCTTCCCAAAGCAGTTTAGACCACCATCTTAAACCACAGACCACAATGAGCTCCAAATGGATACTCAACCTGACTATCTGAGGTCACGCCATTTAAAAAAAAAAAAGAATCAGAAGGGAAGCAGACTAGGTAACCTTTCACCAAGGCTAGTGGGAAGAGCTCTTAACCAAACAAGGGATAGTGGCAATCAAAGGATATAAAATAGAACATTTTCATGACATGAAATTGAAAAGCGTTTGCTTGATAAAACTAATAAGGCTAGGATAAGAAAGAAAGGTGTCAAATGGGAAAAAAAATCTCTCCATATATTTCTGAAAAGGTTCTGAAATCTAAGACATACGGGGAACTACACCCACACCCACATACATACACACCCCTACCTCTGACCCCTGACAGGCTAGGATACTCACAAACAGTTCCCAAAAGAAGGACTGCAAACAATTAACAACTCTATGAAACATTGCTTCAAATCACAAATCAAAATAATCCTGGGCTTTTGTCTCAATCCAGCAAATGGAACAGTCAGTGCTGGAGAAGCCACACAGACAGCCACACTGAAACGCTGCTGCTGAAGCTCTAGGTGGGGCTGACCACCCTGAAAGTCAATTTGGAAGTATGGGGGGAAAAAAAGAAAAAGAGACTGCAATATCCATGCCCTCCATTCCAGAGATCCTACGTACCAGGAAGAAGTCAAGGATAGAGATTTCAATAGGATCCCATACACCAAAATGTTTCAAGCAGCATTTTCCCCCAGTAAAGAACCAGAAACAAAGCACATGCCCGTTGGCCTCCATGTTAGCATGGCTAAACAAACCATGGCACACGAATGTCATGAGATGTTATTGTGCAAAAAGAAGCAAGGAATATGAAGAATTCAGGAAAAACAAACGTGAACTGTTGCAGTAAAAGCACAACAAGGAAAACAACACAATGACACTGTACAACATAAATGCTGAGGGGCAGTTAGGTGGTGCAGTGGATAGAGCACCACCTCTGGAGTTAAGAGGACCTGAGTTCAAATCCGGCCTCAGATACATAACACTCACTAGCTGTGTGTCCCCGGGCAAGTCACTTAACCCAAAATGCCACCAAAATTAAATAAATAAATAAATGCTGAGGAAAAAAGTGAATCGGACTGTCATGTGATCACAACAACTATTCCTTCCTCCAATTTGCCTCCGCCACCCCCCCCAATAAGCCAAGCCCTGTCCTAGGTCCTGACCATGCCCTCCCATTCCCCCCGAACCCTGTGCTCTCCAGGGCCCTACCCCACTGCCATGTACTAGCTCTGCTCTGTCCTGACCCTCTGGTGAACTCACTGGTTCCACTCTCTCCTTTCTCCAGTCCCTTGCCCCTTCATTCCACTGAAAAGAAAAGTGACTACAATGGTTGCTGTAAGAGGGCAAAGGAGGGGACGGATGCACACGATTCAGAGTCAGATTCCATGGGACTGAGAGCTGAGATGAGGCCAGGGAGGGAAGAACAGCGCTGATGCTGCTGACTCGGGGAAGTTCAGAAAAGGGATGGCTCTGGAGGGGAAGAGGAGCTCTCTGTCGGAAACAGTGCATCTGTGATGCCTGGGCTGGTGATGTGGGCAGATTCAGGACACGGACGAGAGCCGCACAGGATGGCAAGGCAAGCAATCTCAGGAGTGGAGGCCACTCACGTGTCAGTGAACATGTGGGACTTCTTGGTCTAGAACGTGGGAACTCCCAAGGAAGCCAGGCCAGCAACTGCTATGTAACTTTAGTCCTGAAGTTGTCTGAGGCACTGAGACTCCTTGCTTTACCCAAGTCACACAGCTAGTATGTGTCATAAGTGGGATTTGAACTCAGATCTTCTCAACTCTGAGGCTGTTTCTCTAGCCACTCTACCACGGGTGGGGAACCTGCAGCCTTGAGACTATATGTGAGGCGCACCTAGGTGGCACACTGGATAGAGCACCAGCCCTGAAGTCAGGAGGACCTGAGTTCAAACTCAGCCTCAAACCAAACACTTGACACTTACTAGCTGCGTGACCTTGGGCAAGTCATTTAACCCCAACTGCAAAAAAAAAGAGAGAGAGAGAGAGCATGCGAAAGAGACTACATGTGGCCCTCTAGGTTCTCAAGTATGGCCCTTTGAATCCAAACTTTATAGAACAAAGCCTTTTATTAAGGGGCTTTGTTCTGTGAATTTTGGATTCAAGTGGCCTACACTTGAAGGGCTAGAGGGCCACATGTTCCCCACTCCTGCACTATACCAAGTTGCCTATCTCAGTGGGGCTTTATGCAATAACATTTTCCACTTAAAGACAACTGTCTATAATGCTCTATTGGAGCTAGAGAAATGGGGGACAACACTAAAGATCCACACACAATATGGGCGCTCTCTTCACCAAAGGGACCTCTCACCCCTTCCTTCATATTGCATGGACTGGCTTCATGAACATCTGTGGCCAAACAAACCCCCAACCATTAACTGGTGATGACCCCCCCCCATGCTGGATCAGGGGAGGATTCAAAAGCCTTCACAGCTTGTGAGACCTTGAACTTGACGAGAGGATCTGGAGGACTTTAGCCTTGAAACAATCCGCAACATTCAGTTTTTGGTGTAGTTTACATTTTCTCCCAAACAAGTTTCTTTCTTTTCTTTCTTTCTTTCTTCTTTCCTCTCTCTTTTTTCTTCCTTCTTTCCTTCCTTCTATTTCTTCTTCTTCTACTACTAGTACTACAATAACTACTACTACTATTACTTCTACTATGACAACAGCCCATAGAGAATTGAAAATGAATGTTTAGTACCTAATCGTGGTCTCTTGGCTTGTATTTCATCAGTGGCTGGAGTTCTGAGGAAAAAAAAAACAAGCAGAAGATCACCATCATTACCTCATCAGGTATAAGTGCTCATTATGCATACATGTGCCAATATAATTCCATCATTCCTCCACTCCCACTCTATTACCCAATGGGTTCCAAGAAATGTTCTGAGACAGAATGACATATTATCAATCACTTCTGTTCATACAGAGGAAATTGCATTTTAATTTAGACATTTGAGTCAGCTAAAGGTTTTCTGTAACATGGAAAATAATCACATGCAGCAGAAAATTAACTAAGCAACCAGATCTTTTTGGATTGGAAAACAGCTTATATTGAAAGAAGCTCATTTATGCTGAAACTCACAGCACTTAAAATACACTAAAGAGTTTACTGAACAGCGCTCACCAAGCAGGGGGTTACGATCTCACCCAAGTGAACAGCATGTCAGCGGCTCAACACCAGGTACTTTTGAGATTTTAGGAGGGCAATACAAATCCTCTCTCTTTGGCTTTTGAAGACAGAAGTGAGGCCCACAAATAGCATCATGAATATGCTCCAGGCTCAGCACCTGCAAACTTCCTTTCCCCCCTCATCAATTTTAAGATTTCATCAATAAAAATACAGGGACTTTAAACACAGAACAAACATCCCATGGGCTTTAGGTTAACTAACACTTATTAAAGGCCTGCTCAAAACAAAACCAGGCAAGGAGGTGATGGAGATCAAACATTAAATATGACAGTCTCGACCATCCTGGGGCTCACAATCTAGCAGAAGGCTCTAGAGTAGGAGCCCTAACTTTTTCGGTGCCCCAGAGACCTCTGGCAACAGTCAAATGAAGCCTATGGAATCCTCTTCAGAGAACTGTTTTTAAATGCACAAAATAAAACATACAGGATTACAAAGGAAACCAACTATATTGAACTACAGTCATCCAAACAACAACGACAATGATGACAACGGCGACAACGATGACAAGGGTTCACAGAACCCTAGGTTAAGAACCTCTGCTCTAAAGCTACACATGCAGGTGTACGACACAAATTACTACAAAACATCTCATGGCAAGTGCATAAGCATGCGAAAAGTCAGAGAGAGGCTAAGAGAAGGGAAGAATCTTCACTGAATTGCAAGGGAAAGAGAAATGGAATGTGAAGTACCACAAGCTTGTGCCAAGAGCCCCCTCTGCTCCCTCTTCCCCCATAAATCTAAAATAAGACGGTGCCTTCTACGTGATTTCCTTGTGAGAACACAGGCAATCACCTTTCCACTCCAGCACTCATTTCCCCAGACACAACATTAACTAGTTCTCCACTAACCAGACAAGTCCCTCCAGGACAGCAAGCTCATTCTAAGGCAGAGGGGTATCCAAAGAACTGATAGGAAGTCAAAATGATCTCAGTTTTGACATTTCTAACAACACGGCCTTGGGGAAGTCACTAATTTCTTGGAGCCTCAGTCTCCTCACAAGTGAAACACAGAACAAAAGACTAATGCCTATCTTACAAAGTAACAACAACAATCACCAAAAAAAACCCCAAAACCAAAAAAACCCCAACAACAATTAAGCAAATTGGCCCGGGCTGCAGTGAGGAGCCAACGGCTCTGGAGGCGTTTCCACTAAGAATACAAAGTAACGCGCTCGGCTTTCCATTTCTGACACCCCCTCCCCCAGTTACTTTGTTTCTGCTTATCTTCGCAAGCGCCGTAACCCCTAACAAGAAGGCCACCTCCTCCCCTAAGATGACAGATGTAGAGAAGGCAGGGACGCCAAAGGTCACCTGTCCCACGCCCTCATTTACGAAGGAAGCTCCTTCGGGGCTTCGGGCCCCCGATCCCCTCGGGCACATCGCTGGCACGGCGCCGAGCACCGAAGGGAGCGCAAGGTTTGCCCGCGTAGCCAGAGCAGGCCATCCCTAAGGATCGACCTGTCCACAAGGCCTCCCACCTGGCGGCGGACGCCGGGGCCTCCACTCCAGAGACCTCGGCCTGGTCAGAGGCCGGAAATTTAGAGCCGCAAAGGGGCCTCGCTGGCCATCGAGCCCGACGCCCCGTTTTCCAGACGAGGAAGCGGAGGCGCAGCGAGAAGAGGAAGTGACCAGGCCCGCGCGCCCGCAGGCCGTCGAGCCAGGCCCTCAGAATTCACGCACGGGCCGAGGCGGGGAAGCAAAGGCCGCAGGCCCGGCCTCGGGCCGCACACGGCAGAGCCCCCGCCCGCCCCTCTCACCTGTCCGAGAGCCGCCTCTTGAGCAGGGGCTGCGCTGCGGGCTCGGGGCGGCCGCGCGGCCTCCGGAAGACGGAGTGGAGGACACTAACCAGCCATCTGTACATACCAGGCCGGTGCGGAAACCGCGGAGGCCGACACGGGCCTAGAGCCGGAGCCCGGAACCGCAGCCGCAGCCGCAGCCGCCCCTGCCACTGCCACAGGCCCCGCCTCTGCCCCCGCAGCCGCCGCAGCCTCCGCCGCAGCCTCCGCCGCCCAGGCCGTCGCCGCTGCAGCCTCAGCCTCAGACGCCAGCAGCCCCACCACGGCAACGTCGCAGACTGGTGACACCGCCCCCAGCCCACCGGAAGTGCGTCCCCACGGCGTGGGCGCTGTTCATTGACGTCACCCGCCCCCCTCCGCTGAGTCGCACCCCCTCGGGCCTGGTGCACCGGCGCATGCGCAGATGCCCCCGCCCCGCCCCGTCTCGTCCCAGCTCGACCGAGATTGTAAGAACGCGGCTCGGCCCAGCTCGGGCCCGGACGGGCCGAGCAGGTTCGGGGGCGGGGCTATCGCCGCCCTTCCGCCAGTCTTGCGGCGCGGGGGACGGAACGCGACACCGCCCACCGCGCCCCACCCTAACGCTCCCTTTCGGGAGGGAGGACCTTAACGAGGCACGGGCGACGGTTGGGCTGGAGCGGGCGGTGCGCGCAGGCGTTGGGCGCCGGCTCTGCGACCGTTGGTGCCCGGCTCCCCTCGCAGAGGCGTCTGGGGCGGGTTGTGCTTGCGCATGCGCCATTGTCTCTCCGGCCTCCCCCGGAGTGTTTCTCGACCCTCTGCTGGAATACCTCCAGGGAGGAGGGGCTCGCCGCCTTCCCAGGGAAGCCCGTCCCTCCTGGGCAGCGCTCGAGACATCGTCTGCTTCGTCCGTCCTGGGCCTGCATCGTCCCCTGTGACCCCCGCCAGCCTGCATTGCAGTGACTCCAGTGGTGGGGCGCCGCGCTAGCTTGCTGGGCACTCACAAAGGGAGTTTTTCCTTATGTTGAGCAAAAGTCTACGTCTGCCCATTGGTCCCGGTCTTCTCTGTAGCGTGACGTTAGGAGAGTAGAGGCTAACGACTGAAAAGGTGTTGGGTTTGGACTTTTTTTTTTTTAAATAGTGGTCTTCCACTATTCCCTCTCCAAAAAGTAAAATAAAAATAAGGCAGAAAAAAATGCCTATTTGCCAATAGTCAGATTCTTTTAGAAGTCAATTAACCTGAAGCACCTACTAGGTGCCAGGCCCGGTGCTAAGTAAAGGGAATATAAAGAAAGCAAAGGACAGTTCCTGCCCTCAGGGAGCTCACAGTCTAATGGGAGAGACAACATGCAAACCACCCTCTACAAATAAGATATGGACAGGATAAATTGGAGCTAATCAGAGCGGAGGCACTAGCAATAAAAAAAATAAAATTATTCCATTAAGTTAAATGTTTAAATTTGCATAAAATTTATTTGAGCAAAAAAACTAATAAATTCAGCCAGCTGAGTTCTAGCGACAGTCCTAATACATTACTTTATTGGTGTTTACTACACTCTAACAAACTTATTGCTATTTATTCTGATGCAAAAAAAAAAAACTAGGAACACAAGGGTCAAAAAACTAGAAAGCTCGTGTACTAATCAATTCCCCAGTTGATTGTCCTGTCTTTTGATTTCAGCCCCTGTCCTTATCAAGCTAATGCCCACAGTGCCCTGCAGACATATCTTGTTAATAACTGGGTTTTCAACTCATAGATTTAGAACCTGAAGATAGAAATTGTCTAGTCCAACACTCTCACCTTCAAAATAAAGAAAATAAGGCTCAGAGAGATAAATGAATTTACTCAACATCACAGTTCCCAGTGCTTCATTTTTGTCCACTTGGTTAGAGCCTTTCAACTCTTTTTACCCTCCTAATCTTACCCCATTCTTCAGGGCCCAGGCCAAAATCCCATCTCTAACCTCCCTGACTGGTCCAGCCAGCTCTGACCTTTCCCTTTAATGCACACTCAAATACTCAATGCTACTACTGCTAAAAATAATTTGTTGTTCAGTTGTGTCCTATTCTTTGTGACTCCATTTGGGGTTTTCTTGGCAAAGATACTAGAGTGGTTTTCCATTTCCTTCAGCTCATTTTATAGATGAGGGAACTGAGGCAAAAAGTTAAGTGCCTTGTTCAAGGTCACAGAGCCAGTGTCTGAGGCCAGATTTAAACTCAGGTCTTCCTGACTCCAGGCCCACTGCTCTTATCCACTGTGCCACCTAGCTGCCCTAGTAATAATAATTATAACATTTACTCCTTTAGATTGTGAGCTTTTTAAGAAAACTTCATAACTTCATGCAAGAGAATGACAGTAATGAGACAACATTCCAAAACTTCTGGGATGCAGCGAAAGCGGTTCTTAGGGGAAGTTTTATATCTCTAACTGCTTCCATGAAAAAAATAGAGAAAGACGAGATCAATGAATTGGGCATGCAACTAAAAAAGCTAGAAAAAGAACAAATTTGAAATCCTCAATTAAACACCAAATTAGAAATATTGGAAACCAAAGGAGAAATTAAAAAAATTGGAATTAAGAAAACTATTGAACTAATAAATAAAACTAACAGCTGGTTATATGAACAAAAAAAAACCCCAATAAAATTGATAAACCTTTGGTTAATTTAATTTTAAAAAAAAGAAAGAAAACCAAATTACCGGTATCAGAAATGAAAGGGTGAATCCGCCACCAAGGAAGAGGAAATTGAAATTCAAACAAGAATTAGGAGCTATTTTGTCCAACTGTATGCCAGTAAATTTGACAATCTTAGTGAAATGGATGAATATTTACAAAAACATAAATTGCCCAGATTAACAAAAACAGGAAGTGAAATACTTAAATAACCCCCATCTCAGAAAAAGAAATTGAACAACCCATTAATGAACTCCCTAAGAAAAAAATCTCCAGGGCCAGATGGATTTACAAGTGAATTCTATCAAACATTTAAAGAACAACTAATTTCAATACTATATAGACTATATGGGAAAATAAGTGAAGAAGGAATCTTACCAAATTCTTTTTATGATACAAATATGGTGCTGATACCTAAACCAGGAAGAGCCGAAACAGAGAAAGAAAATTATAGACCAATTTCCCTAATGAATATAGTGGCAAAAAGTTTAAATAAAACCTTAGCAAATAGATTACAGCAACTTATCACAAAAATAATACACTATGACCAGGTAGGATTTATACCAGGAATGCAGGGCTGGTTCAGTATTAGGAAAACTATCAGCATAATTGACCATATCAACAACAAAATTAACAGAAACCACATGATCATCTCAATAGATGCAGAAAAAGCTTTTGACAAGATACAATACCCATTCCTATTAAAAACACTACAGAGCATAGGAATAAATGGAGTCTTCCTAAAAATAAGTAGCATCTACCTAAAACCTTCAGCAAGGACCATATGTAATGGGGACAAGCTAGAAGCATTTCCAATAAGATCAGGGGTGAAGCAAGGATGTCCATTATCACCACTGTTATTCAATATCATACTGGAAATGTTAGCTTTAGCAATAAGAGCAGAAAAAGAAATTAAAAGTATTAGAATAGGCAAAGAAGAAACAAAGCTATCACTCTTTGCAGATGATATAATGATATACTTAGAGAATCCTAGAGAATCAAGTAGAAAACTACTTGAAATAACAAAAAACTTTAGCAAAGTTGCAGGCTATAAAATAAACCCACACAAATCATTGGCATTTCTATATATTACCAAGAAAGCCCAACAGCAAGAGATACAAAGAGAAATTCCATTTAAAGTTACTGTAGACATTATAAAATATTTAGGAGTCTACCTCCCAAAACAAACCCAGGAATTCTATGAACACAATTACAAAACACTTTTCACGAAAATAAAGTCAGATCTAAATAATTGGAAAAACACCAGTTGCTCATGGGTAGGCTGAGCTAATATAATAAAAATGACAATTCTACCTAAGCTAATTTACTTATTCAGTGCCCATAACAATCAAACTACCAAAAATGTATTTTATAGAGCTAGAAAAAGTAATAACAAGATTCATTTGGAATGAATCACAAAAGGTCCAGAATATCAAGGGAACTAATGAAAAGAAATGCAGGGGAAGGTGGCCTAGCTGTTCCAGATCTTAAATTGTATTTTAAAGCAGCAATCATCAAAACTACTTGGTACTGGCTAACAAATAGAGAGGTGGATCAGTGGAACAAGTTAGGTATGCAAGACACAGTAGTCAATGACTACACTAATTTGCTATTTGATAAACCCGAAGACCCCAGCTTCTGGGATAAGAACTCACTATTTGACAAAAACTGCTGGGAAAACTGGAAAAGAGTATGGCAGAAACTAGGCATAGACCAAAATCTCACACCATACACCAAGATAAAGTCAAAATGGGTTCATGATTTAGATGGAAAGGCTGATACTATAAGCAAACTGGGAGAGCAAGGAATAGTTTACCTATCAGATTTATGGAGAACAGAAAAATTCGTGACCAAATGAGTTAGAAAATATGAAATGCAAAATGGATAATTTTGATTACATTAAATTGAAAATTTTTTGCACAAACAAAGCCAATGCAACCAAGATTAGAAGGAAAGTAGAAAATTGGGAAAAAATTTTTACAACCAGTGTCTCTGATAAGGGCCTCATTTCTAAAAAATATAGAGAATTAAGTCAAATTTATAAGAGTATAAGTCATTTTGGGGGCAGCTAGGTGGCGCAGTGGATAGAGCACTGGCCCTGGATTCAGGAGGACCTGAGTTCAAATCCGGCCTCAGACACATAACACTTACTAGCTGTGTGACCGTGGGCAAGTCACTTAACCCCCATTGCCCAACCAAAAAAAAAAAAGAATGTAAGTCATAATCCAACTGATAAATAGACAAAGGATATGAACAGGCAGTTCTCAGATGAAGAAATTAAAGCCATCTATAGTCATATGAAAAAATGCTCTAAATTGTTATTGATTAAAGAAATGCAAATCAAAACAACTCTGAGGTACCACATCACACCTATTAGATTGGCCAACATGACAAAACAGGAAAATGATAAATCTTGGGGAGGGAGGTGGAAAGGGAGGAGGAGAAAAATTTAAAACTCAAAAGCTTATGGAAGTGATTATTGATAAATCAAAATAAAAAAATAATGGAAGACATAGAAGGTGTGCATGGAACTAACT